CTGCTCGCGAGTCTGCAGAGCCAGTCTCAGAGCTCGGTTGCCGTTCCGGTCCTTGGAGACACCGACCAGGCGGCCGGGCATGCGACGCTTGTGGGCCTCTTTGACGGCGAAGAAGGCCGCGTGGGGCCCACCGAAGCCAAGAGGCACGCCGAAGCGCTGCGCGCTTCCAAAGGCAATGTCGGCACCCCATTCGCCAGGCGGCGTGAGGACCGTCAACGCCAGGAGGTCGGTCGCGGCGCTAAGCAGGGCACCCTGGGAGTGAACGAGCTCGGAGAGAGCCTTGAAGTCCTCCACCTTGCCCCTGGTGTCGGGGTACTGGACCATGACACCGACCAAGTCCTGCCCCAGGGCCTTGATCTTGTCCTGAGTCTCGGCGGTGCTGACGTCGAGGGTCTCAACCTTGATACCGAATCCCTGGGCTCTGCTCTTGAGAACGGAAATGGACTGGGGGTGAACGAGGTGAGAGACGACGAAAGTCTTGCCGGGTCTCTTGGCGCGAGAGGCAGAAAGAGCGTTCATTGACAGAGTCATGGCTTCAGCAGCCGCCGTTCCCTCGTCCAGCAGACTGGCATTAGAGATGGGGAGACCGGTCAGGTCGGAGACCATGGTCTGGTAGTTGAGGAGCGACTCGAGACGTCCCTGGCTGATTTCCGGCTGGTAGGGGGTGTAGCTCGTGTACCAAGCGGGGCTCTCGAGGACGTTGGTCTGGATAACACGGGGCGTGACACTAGGATTGTATCCAGCACCGATCAAAGGCTTGGGAGCGGCCTCATTGGCCTTGGCCCAGGCCGTGGCTCTCGCCAAAATCTTGCTCTCATCCGTCGGGCCCTCGGTGTCCCAGGCGAAGGTCTTCCTCTCGGAGAGGACATCCGCAGGGAGGACCTGGGAAATAAACTCATCAATTGACTTTGCGGGAGGGTCGAGGGCCTTGAGCATGGCCTCGGCATCGTGAACATCGGGGCCAATGTGGCGCGGAATGAACGACTCCGGCCTCTGGAGCGGTTCAAGGGAGGGGTCCACCGAAGTGCTCCTCGCACTCGTGGCGTTCTGGAGAGATGTGATGGCGCTGAAGGTCCTCATGCGCGGGACGCGCGAGATCACCGTCGGGCTTGAGGCGCATGAATTGCAAACCCACGGTGAAGCTGGTGTCTGGCGGGCGAGAACCCTTGACCTCGGGGCAGCCAGCCGAAGCTGGCGGGGGAAGGGCAATCTCAACGATGCCATGATGGGATAATAGGCGATTCTGAGTGGCAATCCAAGGAGGGGTTGAGAATGCCACGAGACTCGCCGAGGTCCAAGTGCGTGTATCCTGAGAGACAACAAGTGTGAGAGAAGAGGAAGGGAGAAGAAAAGAAGAGGCGGCTCGGTTGTGAGACTCGTGCGTGCGTGTATATAGGTATAGAAATGCTGGCTCGGATGATGGCCCGATATCGTTATAGGTCAAGCAGCAACACCCCTGTCGCCACTTGTAGACCCGAGATGCGACCCGGGATGAAAGGCGAACAGACGCTCGCACGCCAACCGTATTGCGCGATTCAAAACACTTGGTGGAGGTCTCTTCGCAACGGAACACTTAGAAAAGACCAGACGGCGTTTTTTGCAAGAGAGGATGAGAACAGGAAAGAAGGAGACCTGCTGGGCGGTTTAAATATGAACGAGTCGGTGAGGACCAGCGCCGGCACTCTTCCACGCTACAGGTACCTAATGTATGTACGGCTACTTATCGGTTCACGGTACGTATATCGTCCTTAGGGATACGGTTCCCGAGTCAACAATCGGTTCCGATTTGAGTCTATTTGAGTCGCTCCCAGCATGCCGGACCGAGCTCAAGGACCCTTTTGGTTGGGGCCTGGGAAACGAACCCGCCTGGCCAAGAGAGTCTTATCCGGCGGCCCGTTGATAAGCGCGCACCGACTATGGGGATTGAGGCGATAAGAGTAACCGCTATATTGCGTACTCTGGGTACGCCACCGACTAATACCTACACATGTATCCGTACTCTGTATAGGTATAGCAGTAGTAGGTTAGATGTGTGTGTGTGTGCAGGTACTCCATGTTCCCCGTCCATCCCCTGGCCTGACTTTGGGGTCCCCGGTTGCGTTCCAAGAGCTCTGGAATCTGGCACCGCGATTACGTCCAAAAGCAGACCATTTAGCCAATGAGACAGCGACAAAGCCGCATGGGGGAGGACTGGGTCCTGGGCTCCAGTGAGTGTGTTTGCTTGGGTTTTTTGGGGGGAGTGCGGATGAGGTGCCGAGAGCACTCGGCAGAAGAGCCGAGCACTAAAAATGCCTGCGGCAGGGCTGGATGTATGGATGGCGCATAACCTACCTAAACCTACCTAAACTTACCTAATACCGGGGGGTCTACTTTACCTACCTTGCTTACTACGCATGTGGACCTTTGCCCGAAGGCTCAAGGCGAGAGCTTCGGTACGTACCAACCGGGATGCCGCCAGGAGCAGCTAGACAGACTGGAGCTTCTCTAAATTTTTGCGACGACATCATCACTGAACCTGTCACCCACTGCGTAATATCACCACTTCACGAAGCCGCTTTCCTGCATCCTCGCCCATCCACCGCCCCAGCCACACTTTCAAGAACAAGCAGCCAAGATGTTCGGAGGATGTACGTAGTCGTCAACCAGACCACAGACGCGCCTTGGACCATGCAGCTAACCCCCCGTCTGCCCTACAGTCGCGCCGCCCCAGCTCTCCGAGGAGGAGATCAAGCAGATGGAGTCTGAGGCCAGCTTCACCGTCCAGCAGGTCTTGGTCTCTTCCATCCTTCTGTATCTCTGTACGTAAAATCTCCCCAGGTCTCATCCGCTCGGCCGTCGAATCAACAAGGCCCGTGAACGTTTGCTAATCAGAGTTATTTCGCCCAGCTCCCTTCGCCATCGACGCCGTCTCCAGGTTCCTGTAAACGGGTTGTCCAGGATGAATTGGAAGACTCCCCTCGTGGCTAGATATCGCAGCCATATCGAAGCACGTGCGTCTCGGACGCAACAACAAAACAGGGCCGCATCGGTGATGTGCTGAGCGGCCATCTTACCCGCCTACGGGGTGTGTAATGGGACAAATACCCCTATTGTAGAATATCATCTGTACAATGTACACAGAGGGCTGGTCGGATGGGATATGGATATAGATCACATCGGAATTATGGTAGTTAAGCATCACGACTTTTCAGGTTCAACGTTGCCTTCCCACGTGAGACATAAAGGGGGCTCTCTGTCATAGTTTCATCCCTCCTTTATATTATTCAATACGGATGGGTTTACAGGGTGCTCATGTCGCCGCGATCCGTTCCGCGCATTGCAAAAGCGTCCGCTCGTGCCTCTCCATTGTCACAAGTCCCATGGAGTTCTAAACTCCGAAATGAACCGCTCAACTCGGGTTCCGCTCCCTTTCCCAGTCCGCAAAGTCTTTCGTAATCGACTCGACCTCCTTCTTGAGGTGCTGGATCTGCTTCTCGTAGTCCTCCAAAACCTGCAGCAGTTAGCGTCTCTTACCCGGCAACCCGCGGGTCCAAGACAGAAACTCACCTTCTTCGCCTTGTGCTCCGTCTCCTCGCTCAATCCTTCACCGCTCGCAAAAGCAGGCTTGTTCGTCTCCTTCATCAGCTGGTCCGCATAGTCCCGGAGCACGATCAATCGGCTCCAGAGCTCCTCTTCCCGCGCCGCCAGAGCGGGATCCTGTACACTGCGCTCCAGCTCCACCAGCTTGAGGCGCAGGTCATCCTCGTCGCCGCTGAGGGCGTACCCGCGGTTGCGCAGCACCTGCACGCGCGCGGCGAGCGCAAGACACCGCTCGCGGAGCACTACGTGGCGGCGGCGGGCCGCCAGAGCACGCACGCTCGTCTCGAGGTCGTGCCGCGAAAGTATTGCGTCCAGGCTGGCATTGATCTGGTGCAGGCGCACATTAAGCTCCCCAACAACCTTCTTCTGCGTCTGGAGACGGGCCGCAACGCCCGTGAAGCCCGTGCATAGAACAGGGATGAAGCCAGGCGCGGGCTTCTTCTGCAGTGCCTCCTCCCATTCCTTGGGGTCCTCGTGAGGACCGGGTTTGTAAAAGGGGACGGAGGCCTCGTCGACCTTGTTGTAAAAGTAGTGCTTGAAGGCACAGTTGGGGCTCGCAGGGTTCCACTTCTCAAAGATGAGGGCCATCTGTTCGGGTATAGGCTTTTGGTTCTCTGTCATGGTGTCAGTTGGGATTGATTGCAAGATGAAGAATTTTGATCATCTATACACGTACGAGGTGTTTCCCTGCCAGGCTGCCAGAGGGAGCTCGAAAGTTGTGCTTGTGACTGCGACAGGCTGGGCATCTGTTGCTGCTGCTGTTGTTGCTGCTGCTGCTGCTGTTGCGGCTGTTGAGACTGGGCTATGGAGTTTCCAAAGGCGTTTCCTTGGTTCTGCGTTTGTCCAAAGAGACTCGTTCCGCCCTGCTGTTGTTGTTGTTGTTGTTGCTGCTGCTGCGGCTGCTGTGTTGATTGTCCCAGCGTACTGCCGCCGAATCCACCGCCGCCAAAGAGACCTCCGGTCTGCCCAGCGGGCTTTGGTGCTCCGAATAGACTCATTTTAGGTGATGACGCCTATGAATTTTACCGGTATCAAGGGAGGTGTAGCGTCGCTTTGCCAGCGAGCTCGTACAGTCGGGGCGGATGGTTGATGCGCAGAGTTGCAGCGCCAGAGAAAACAATGAGCGAAAGGTCCTTCAGCGCATAGTCGTTTGGACGAGCCGCAGTTGAAGCAGTCGCAGGTATCGAAACAGGTCGCGGCTTCTAGGAGCAACCGGAAAGCGATTGTCGCGGATGTTTCGCAGTGTGCGGCGAGGATGTTCACCGAGTATCGATGGTGGGCTGCTGTTGAGCCTTACCCTTGTTTTTGGTACCCAGCAACAGACGCGAAAATAATAAATCGGAGCTCGCAGCTGTAGCGCTGGCAGCGTTCACCGGGCGCCACACTTTTCCAGACCGAGAGCAAGGCACCTCGCAGCAGCGCCACATTTAAGGCTCCACCTCAGCCTCGTACTCAACCGAGCCAATCATATCCCTTCTAAATCGACCTCACCTCAATTCGTAGTGTCCATCGCCCGGAAAGCTTGCTCTGGATGACCATCCGACCCCAGAACCGACTTCTCCCTTCCCCTCCGACTCCATCACCACAACCACAGCCATGGCGTCCCGACGGCCTCAGTACGTGACCCCTCTGCTCCGTCGCTCGATTTAGCGATCCAATTGGCCCAATCGCGGCTCGTTTTGGACGTAATCTCGGATCGCGGATCGCAACAACAGACTAATCACAAATGCGCTCGCAGATTCAACCAGCAGTTCCAGGTCGACACGACCCCTCTGCCCGATAGCATCCCCAAGGTCAAGGAGATCGGTGCCAGCTCCGCGCCCCTGCTGTCTGCATCCTACTTCATCGGCGCCCGATGCCGCGAATACAATGACGACTTCATGCAGTGCAAGACGGAGAGCGCGGGCCGCGGTGAATTCGACTGCTTGAAGGAGGGTCGTCGGGTCACGAGATGTGCCTCCAGCGTGTACGTCGAGCCGCCCACTCCCTCCATTGGAAGTATTGGCAAGAAGAGTCGCAGGTTGCCCTTCAATTGGGCTCCGCAGATAGGGAGGGACCCATTGGACTCTGGGCATGGGCTATGATATGAATGTAGAAACGCTGACTTGGATTCCGCCGTCCGCAGGCTGAAGGACATCAACACCCATTGCCTCGAGCAGTTCAAGGCCCACTGGACCTGCATCGAGAACCGCAACCATCAGCTCTACCAGTGCCGACAGCCCGAGTGGAAGCTCAACAAATGTGTCTATGAGAACCTGGTACGTTGTAACCGTTAGATAAGAGGACTTCTGGAACCACTACTGCTCGCACACCGCAGGACACCCAAGCAACTGCTAACAAGACCGCTTCTAGAAACTCGAGAAGCACATCCCCGACCAGCGTCCCGGTGTCACCCCTGTCGAGCTCCGTACTCACATGATCTACGCCGACCAACCCATCAACACCCTCGAGGGCAAGCCCTTCATCCCCCCGTCAAAGGCCGAGGGCAACAAGCAAGCGTCGTAAAAGGTGCGTGGGCGTTTATGTGTGCGAAAAGGCGCTGTGGGAAGACGGCTGCCTTCCCTTCCCCTGGCACGAATGCCGCGGACGGAGAGGAGTCTGGGCTTTGCGTTGAAGATGTAGGCTCGGGACTTGGCGATAGAACGCTGTGTACATATGTCATCAATCAGAGTTGGGATCATCCAAATGGCTTCTTTTAATGTTTCCCCAGCCTGTTTCGGATTACCCAGGGGGATCCTCAGCAATCGTAATTACGATGCTCCTTAGCTCGACTGGGCCGGCTGGCCGTCGCCAACGGCGATGAGCCAGCACGAAAGGTATATCAAAGACGGACCAACACCCATTCCTATAGCGTTTGGGGCGAGTTGCAACTCACATTGTACCAGTGACTGACATGGTAATACTAGTCACGACCTACACGGGTTTGCTGGTACTTTCGCCGTTCAACCATATGCAGGCTTATTCTTTGCCGGCGTCCCAGGTCACAGGTTTGCCAAGATGACTTTGTGAAGCGTGATATCAATTCTTCTGCCATCAGGTGTCTTTTCGGAGCAAGCGTATGGACCGAATCATAATCAACAGAAGCACCCCCTACGTAGGCATGAACCTCGTCAGTCCGCTGGTGCTAGCACAGCAGCCTCCCCTCGAGAGACGAAAGCAGAACATGTCGTCCAACGAACACCTTTCACGTGCACCTGCCCGTCAATCGTCTGAAAGCCCCCCCCCCTCTTTTGAGCCTTCCACGGCCTCTCCCTCGCTAGGCCTCCCTATCCTTCGTCGTTGATCTCGGCCCCGCTGTTCTCTGTCGACAGCATCCGAAAAGCGTGCGTCACGTATGATACCAAGACATCCGCAATCTAACATCACGATTTGGAAGACTAGAGCCCTACACCACTCCGAACCCGTATTCTCTGCTTCTTCTATTGGGGATGACAGTTAGAAGGCGGGGCCGCCATCGATTCAAAATTTGTCGTTGTAGTATGCTAAGCGGAAGTTTGGGCCAGGCTGGGCTAGTGTGATCTGCCTTGTGATCTTTTCAGATGTACCACGTTACCGCTACGAGGCCAGAGGACCTTCAGGTGGTAAACAGTCTGTCAAAATCGCACGTACAGCCCCCAGCAGGTAACCGAGACAGCGGCGGCAGCAAGAAAGACGAATTCGGTCACGCCGAACGGTGCGACGGCGGCGGATAAGATATCACACCAGGACTCGGGGGCGCCGACATGTGAGCCGTCATACAGCAAAAGCTTACGTGTCTCTGTCCCGGCATTGTTCAAGGCTGCTCTCCTTCCTGTGCTCATCCGGGAAGAGTAAGCGTGCTGATGGCGGATCAGTGACGGACAGGAGGGGCAAGACGAGCCGGCGATGATGGCTCGCTATCAATCTCCGACGCGGCGGGTTCCAGGCCACGCCGCCCACCCAAGCCACATTCGCGTCGTTCAGAGCTGCTTACCTGGAACGAAGGCCGCACGCGGCCGTGAATGGATCGGGACAGGCGACCCTGATGGCGTAGGAAGCTGCCGTGGGTTGGCGGGACGTGTCATGTGTCAAATCTGCCGACGGTATGCCTACTTGCGCGACGGCGCCCTGACATGTCGGACGATGCCTAGGGCGACGTGTCAGCGTCACAGGAGGCAGGACGGCTACGACGGAAGAGGCTAGTGTTTCTGGAAAGGCTCTTTGGGGAGCGGAGCACAAGGTTGGAGGGAAGTAAATCAGGAGGTGTCTTGGAGAACCCCGAAAGTGGGCGAGCGTTGCAGAGTTGCGAATAACGGGCCAAGGGGTTGAGAGGTTGTAGGGTTGCGGGGTTGTTCTTTGATGCCCTCTCTGATCAAGATTGCCAGACTAAGGTGACTCGGCCACCTGTCTTGGACACGCGTATGACATTGACCACTTTGGACGGAGGCTGTCGAAGGCTATGCAGGTGCGTCTTCTTGAGGTTCCTGAGGATATTTGTCTCATTCATCTACATCGTTGCTCAATAGGCGCTGAGCGAGTACGACCCTCATAGAATCATGTAAAGGTCGTCCAGCTTTGCTACAGCCTTCCATGATGGGTCGACAACGCCACAATCGGCTCCTGCCCATGCGGCTATGGCTTTTGTACTCGCCGTTGATGCTATAGCTGCCATGGAGCCGGTTGTTTCCTCTTGTCTTGAACAACGACTGTCATGGTACGGTGAGCCAGGCATGTTCACGTCCTGCGGCGTTCGTTCCTTTTACATTGACTCCCGCCACTTCTCAATACCATCTCAGCATTGTATGAAGAAGAAAAAGAAAAAAGAAAAAAGGAAAGAAAACCCACTCCAAACTCCCGGGTGTACTTCAGCATGATCGGCATTCAATCAGAGTATTTTGATGGAATCTCAACGCCGCTGCGAAACCTGTGTTGGCTTAACGTCAGGAATGTTGGTCCTGATGGAGCAGACGGAAATGAGGGGTTCTCCCGGGCCGGCCAGGCGCCAAGGCGGCGTCAACGTAGCGAGACTCAAAGCCCAGGGCGCTGGGTGGCCAGGCCGCGCAAAGTGGCCGCAGGAATCGTCAAACGACATGTTTCTCGAAGTGACTTTCTTGCTTGGGCGATCCGATGCTTCTCAGCCAACCGGAGGCCCACCAAAGCAGCAGGCTCTTGCAGGAGGCTTTGAGACTCCTGCGTTTGTAACCCCGTAGCCGCCAGCGCCGTCCAACCCTGATGGCGGATGTTTAAGCACGCGTGTCCCCTTGCACTGTCCAAGTTTTGACTCGGGGGAGTACCGTACGTAGCCCACCGCCGGGCCCTAGAGTCTGGACGAAGGGATGCAAATTTCGCATGCGGCGTTGGTACTTTGCTGGCGGTAATTCAAAGTGGTAAAAGCAGGTTTGGAGCTTGGGAGTCCAACGGTGACCCGGGTCGACAGGGCCAAGGTCCCCAGGATGGAGATGCCGTCTTGCCCGGAGGACGTGCCGTGTAGCCCGCGGTCGGCCGGCAATCAGGAAAGCGGGGCACGGGTGACGTGTGAACAGAAAAAAAAAAAAAAAAAGGCCTCAGGGATACCCTCGCTGGCAAGATTAAGGACGTTGGAGGGTCCCCGGGAGGTAAACAGGCGCTCATTTCGCGGTTGATGGAAGCATCAACCAGACCCTGTTTTCCCGCTCGTTGGTGTCCACCCAGATGGTGTAACTGAGAACCGATGGGTGTTTCCATCCCCGCCGTCCATGTTTGCGTTAAATCATGCAGTCAGAGATGAGATGCGCTGACGGCGCTGGGGGAGATTCTGATGTTCCTGTCATAGCCGGGATGGCGATGTCTGGAGTGCGGATCCACCTCCTCAATAAGTTTCACCACATGGATGGTAAATCAAGCTAGAAGCCTGTGGGATGAGAGTTAATCTCGAGCCTGTCCTGCCACGTGGGCGAAGACGAGGTGACATTGGGTTTTTGAGACGAGAAGAGATGAAAACGTCTGTCACGGGGAACTGGGTGTCATTGGGGGATGGCACCTGTGCATTTACTCTCTGCCCATGTGATACACATCGTACATGGTAGTTTGCTTGCGGGTGGGGCCCTGATATCCGAAAGAACATCAGAAGAACTGCATACGTCGGATCGGATGGTTCTAGACGCTCGCCTAGCAGCCAGACGATTTCCCCATTCCAGAAGTCTTATCACCCTCCAAGCATATCGCTATTGCCATATTTTTTGGTAGATATGTGGATATCGAGAGCTGCCAAACCGCTGGCTGACAATGATGGAATTCACAAGAGCCTTTGGACTTGATCATGGGAGGTTTGATGTTTGTGAATCGAATTCTTGCCTATCCACTCACTCTCCGACTGGGCCGGGGAGCCGATGCGCTGCTAGGCTGGCGGCTGTTCGACCAACTCGTCATCTGCTGCGATGGCTTTCTGTCACAATCGTCATCTCGATCGCCGTTGCTGATCACTGCCTCAATCCAAGGGACCATACACCAGAATTGGCTTTAAGAAGGAGGCTGGACTTGGGCTTTGGATGACGTTAGTTGTATCCACGAAGAATCAAGGTTACCAAAGAGCGAGATCTGGTTTTGACGAATCGGATGTTCACTGCTCGGTTGCTGCCACGATCTATTTCAGTCATTGCTTCGCTCCGAGGGCCAGTCTCCGCTCACGGGGCATCTTGACTTTTGTGGGCAGTCAAGCCTTGACGCGGCCCGGACGAGCGCCAGCTAGGCTAGACGAGTAGTATTTGTGGCCGATGATAGTATTGGTCTCCCGCTGCTGGTAGGAAGGCTGCGCAGCGCTTGGATGATGAGGTTCTTTTTCTGGTGTGGTTACCTCACCAAAAGAAGTCCTGTAAGCTGGTAGGCAGTGCAGAAACACAAATTCCAAACGTGCCCATGAGCAATGTGCCGGCAGGCCACAACTGTGTCCTTGGAAGTAGGATCGAATGGAATCCGCTCCGACCTTCGTCAGCCGTGCTGTGCCCATGGACCATTGGCGACCGTCGATAAGGCGGGCGGTGCCTATTGATCTACCGATGCACTCTGTATAGGTATCCGTACCCCGAAACGCAACAAGGCAACGGGAAACCGGATGCTATCGTAGCTTCATTTCTCCAATCGTAAGCCCCGCGCACAGATGCCAGGTTTCCTCGGAGACCCTTCGTCATCGGTAATCAAAGGGTGTTGTATGTGATGGGACGTCCCATGGCCCTAGCAGGACGATAGGCGATGAGGTGGAGAAGGGGTCAACGACAGATCGACGAAGGTAATGAGGTCTTTTACTTTGTAGCAAGACGGCGGCAAGATCGGCCAAACGATAGCGGCGATGGACTGATTACCTATGTATAGAGCTAGCAACTACAATGCGGACTGGGGATGCCTGACAGAAACGCTGTGCCAATAAGATATCTTTGGCTGCGGCGATCGTCCTGACTGACGAGAGCGCCACTGTGTGCTGGCAGCAGCCAAATACGATCTGTGGGTGGCAGTGGAAGCAGTTGGCGGCCGGAGAAAGAAAAAAGAAAAGAAACCCCTACCCCTGGGGAAAAAAAAAAAATAAGAAAACCGCCGAGGTCGAGATGAGACGCTGAAGCGCAAAACGTCCATTGGCAGGTGCGGCCTCTGAGAAGGCGCGCAAAGTCCAGGAGAGACGGGATGAACAGGTCCCCACCGAAATTAAGGCTGTTTCAGAAGGGTGGGTCTCCTCAGGCTAAGTGGCTGTTTGATGGACGCGCCTTATTGACCCTTGCAGCAATCACAGGAGGAGCGCCCACATCGCCTACCTAGGTACTTACCTACTGCAAGGTACCGGCTCTCTTTGCCGTTGCCATTGAGCCAATGATGAGAGGGGATCAGGCGCTGCCGCATGGAGATTGGTCAAATATATCCGGAGCGTCATTAGGGGTAGGGGCGTGTGTGGATGAAGGAGGGGGACGAGAAGGGTGCGCTAGTTGATATTAACACAAGAAAACAGCGCCTAGTAGTAGGAAGCCCCCAAGCCCCCTATTCTCCCCCTATCTCCATGACATGCTATTTCCTAAGAGGATTTACAGTTTGGAGGCAGCCTTGGTTGTTAGGGCTCTTGACGCTCCTCCACGGTGAGCCAAGATTGTAAGATTGTCGCGCTGCTTTTTTGAGTGACGCGGCAAGTTCAAGGAGGGGGCCGTCCACCTCCATGACGCACTATCGATGCTGGATCTGATGGAAGATCAGACGTCGCTAGCACCTACGCTCCGTGGTTCCGGCGAATGGAGAAGCCAACCAGCGTCTCCGGACAGGCTTGCAGGCTCTTGGGCCTACGCTGATGCTTTACCCGGCTCCTTGATGCATCGGAACACAGCTTGGCTTGGAGAGGGGAGGGCCCGATGTGGCGGTGACGAAGTTGAAGCTGGGCGGGGGGTTAACGATGAAAACCCTCATCTAACGGTCTATATTCACCATACGCTCCGTATACAGCGATAAAAATAAATAAATAAAAAGGCCAAACCGTCGCCCCAGATCGGGAAGCTGACCATGCAACGGGCTGGACTGGGCTATAAGGCAGAGAATGTGGGGATGGCTGCCAAGATGTGAGGATCTATAGGCAGAGAGGCTGAGGCCGGAGCTGAGAGATGCACGCACGTTGGTTAGGCTGATGAGATGAGATGAGCTGATAAGTTCAGCGATGGCGAAGCGCAAATAATGTGTTATTTTTGACGTTGATGATTCTGAAGTTGATGCTGATGCCGACATGTCATTGGAGCCCTGGCTTTTTCCCCCCCTGTCTTTTTTACTCGTATCCCCGCTTCCTAGTCACCACACACCGGCAATAAGTCAAGTAGCACCTGCGATGTTATGAGACGAACTCCGGTTCCTCGTCCTCGTGCCTTCCCGTCCCAAATGTTTATGTAGCAGGTACCTAGGTACCCAATCGTAGCTGTGATGGATCAAATGTAAAGAGGGAAGGACCGTTTGCATAAGACATCTTCCTTCCCTCTATCCCGCGCCTCCCCTTACTTACCTACTTACTTGACACGGGTAGGTAGGTACCTACCTCGGTAGTTTATAACACACTAGTGATACAGCCACCCCCAAATGACCTCGATCTAATTTCGAACCCACGCCTTCCACTTACACGTACGTACTCCATACATACCTAGCATTTGCACGTACCTGCTTACCTCTGTGCAGATGCTTCCGGATAGGACACACTTACACACATTAAGGTAGGTACCTACGTGTAGCAGCTCCTTCCCTCAGTCGCAAATGCCCCGAAACCCAAATAGTTCACCTTGTTTTGTGCCACTTTCTTTTCTGGCCCTGTATGGCTTGCTTGTCTCTCCTCCAGATAATTTCCCTTCGTCACTGTTGCCTCCACGACCCCCCTTTGACCCTCGTCACTCTTTCCCCCGCTCTGCTGTCGTTGGGTGCCATCAACACACCTCGTCTGTCAGATACCAGGGTTCACATTGCATTGCCGTCGTCCTCTCCGTCCCTCGTTTGACCGGGCTTCTTCGCAAATACCACGCCTCTCCACGCGCCAAGCTCACACCACCCATCCCTCGATACGGAAGCCTCCACAATCCACAGTCCACAGTCCACAATCCACGTCTACAATCCACGCCCATAGTCCGCTTCCATGCCCGCCTGAGCTCCCGGTCACAAGGCAGAGCAGAAGAAAGAGAAGCAGCCCAGCACTATCCACGGTCCGCCGCGCACACACGCACCGCCGCGCCCCAACCGGCCTCAACAGCACACCTCACTTTCACGCCTAGACTCTTACCAACACCCCGGCCATCCAGCATACCTCGCCCTTGTCGACGCTAGTCTTCGACCGGACTCAGGCTCAAACTCTCGCCCAGTCCCGCAATCCCAGTCGCGCGGGTTTTCGTCCATCTGTCCGTTCCCTTTTAGTAGCTCACCGTCGCCGTCTAGAACGACTAGTCTCTCCCTGCTTCGCCACATCCAAGAGATCACTGATTTCGTTCCTCTTCACACCCCCTTCTTTCCTCCGCCTTGGCCTCGGTCGCCATCGTGTCGTTCTTGACACCGTCCATTCTTTTTAAAAACCAATCACGCCGCCTCCAGGTCGAGACTTTGAATCCCCTCTTTTTCTGCACCCTCAACCTTCCAGGATAGAAGGATAGGCCACCGACATTCCTTTCGGAACAGCGACTTATCTTCACGTTCTCTACCTAACAAGCACCAGCTTCCTGTCATTCCTTCGCAATCGTTCTCAAGAGAGTTCTTTTTCTGTCCAAAAAGAATTTACGAGTTCTTCGTCCGACCTGCCAACTTGAATAACAACAGCGTTGTTCAACCACACTCATTACACATCACCACAAGGTCCTAGACGGAACCGTATCAGCAGTGCTGCATCACCACACACAGCTGGCTCTGAGAACCACATCACGGGTCTATATTTGTCTTGGCCAAGCATTCAACTATTCTCCATCACAACCAGCCTCTGCGCCAAGATCCGCATCTGTGGATTCCAGATTCCGTGAATCATTCCCAGACATCAAGCAACTGCATCAAAAGGTGAGTGGCGCCGAATTTGGCATACCCCCTCCACTTTTCCCGCCATGTCTGCATTCCTTGCGCGTGAATGGCATTGTTTGGGGCGCCATCTTCGAGACAAACGCATGCCAGCACGACTCGGACTACACACTCATGAACAATGGCCTTTGTCCATTGTCTCGCCCATCACGTGTAATTTGACTCACGCAGTCGAACAACGAACTTGATGGACCATCGGGTTGTGTCAGCTGCGGCACGCTACTGGGCTGGGCAATCCAAACATCTCACCCTCCCGCACCCACAAAAGGCATATATGAGGATGATGCCCATCCCGTCTTGCTCGAGATGTCGTATTACCCTGCTTCGCTACACTCTTTTCTCTCATCGGTCGCCAGTCGATCTTCACTCGTGCACAGCATCTTCGCGGGCGAAGCTAATCAACTCTCTAGACCTTCATTTTCATCCACATCAACCTTAACCCGCCCTTCAAAATGAAATCTTCAGTCGTCCTTGCTGCTACTGGCGCCGTCATGGCCATGGGTGCCGCCCTCGATCCCCGTGTCATGAAGACTATGCTGGACATCACCTTTGTAACCGTCACCGTTACCGACGGTATGGAGCCTACTCCTAGCCCTACTTCCTCGACTCCGGCCGTCTTCTACGAGGCTCCCGTCTCCGTTCCCAAAGTCGAGCAGTCGCCTGAGCCTGCGCCCGCGCCCGTGTTCCAGACCATCATCATCTCCAACACCCCCGAGCCCACCCCGACTCCGACCCCGACCCCTACGCCCGAGCCGGTTGTGGCGCCCGTCGTGCCCTCCCCTCCCCCTGCCAAGCCTGTCGTTGTCGAGACTGCGCCGGCTGCCCCTAGCCCCGCTCCTGTTGCTGATGACCTCGAGAGCACCTGCATCGACACTCACAACCTTCACCGCGCCAACCACTCCGCCCCTGCTCTGAGCTGGGACAGCCAACTTGCCAGCTATGCCCTCATCACTGCCAAGACCTGTGTCTTTGAGCACGACATGTAAGTTCGGAGCCAGCATCAGCACCGTCCTCTCTCCACCAGCTACTAACATTGGACAGGTCGGAAGGTGGTGGTGGCTATGGTCAGAACCTTGCCATGTGGGGTGCCACTGGCTCCGAGAATCTCGGCGAGGCCAAGGCTGCCCAGCGTGCCATCACTGATCAATGGTACAACGGCGAGATCAACCTCTACCCCGGCTATGGCCTGCCCAACCTTGACATGTCCAACTTCCTTTCGTGGGGTCATTTCTCCCAGTTGGTCTGGGTTGACTCCACCACTGTCGGCTGCGCCGTAAACTACTGTGCTGCCGGAACCCTGAGCTCTATTGGTAGCTGGTTCACCGTCTGCAACTACAAGTCCCAGGGTCAGTATTCACATCTGGTCTCTGATCTTTATCAACGCGCTAACTCGACCCAGGCAACGTCATCGGTAGCTTCGCTCAGAACGTCCTGCCTCCTCGCGATGCTGCTTCCGTCTACGTTGCTTAAGCGGCGCGACGAGCTGCCGAGTGTTCTTGGGTGAATCCGATGAACTACACTTGCACCCTCTCGTCCAGCCTACTTAAATCATGGCCATGTCTTGGTTTGCGACATGGCCACTGGGTACGAGATCGGATGATCTAGCGAGCCTTTTCTTTCTTTCTTTTTCTTTTCACTTCTATCGCTGTACCTTACTAGGAGATCGCTTGACTTTATCGATCTCCTTGTCTCGTCTCTGGGACCACTTGAATCGGGCCCATGAATGGCATGGATACATTTCTTCATACCAACTTCCATTCGGCACTTGCGCGCAATTGGCAGGCATTTTCCAGTCTTACCTTGGTGGCCAGGAACCTGTTTCGAGGACACTGAACATTGATGATGATGCATTTACGGACCTGGAGTGGAATGAGAAACCTTTTTTTGGGGGGGAGGTTACCAACCCACAACGGAACAGCGATTCTTCTCCAATTCTTGGTCTGGTTGCCGTGGAAATTTCATCGAGGCTTCACTTGAGGACTTTTTTGGTGGATCTGCCAGACGACCGACACACGTTCATGACTCCTTTTGGTTCTTTGTACCTATGGTTCTCTTTTTGACTTGATTTTAGAGTTAGGGAGGCAGTCCAATGTGACCGCGCCATGGTTCTCGCAATTCTTCTGAGAGTTTGGTCCTAGCGGTGATGCCAACTTGAAAACGTTACTTGGGGTGCCCTTCGTTTGTGTGTTTGCTGTCCTTGCCCCTGACATGCAGGAATCCTCGAGTGCTGGACAAGAAAAGTGCGGCCGGACAACCGCAATTGTTTCCTCTCTTCCATTTTCGTGCCGTGTATCGTTGTAAAGTCATGCCGGCTTGGCCGTCGTGTGTAACGTTCGACCCGAAGCGACGATTTGTGTACCGCCATTCAGTTGCGAACGACTTCGTCGAAGCAGCGATAGGCGTGTGGGAACGAACACATGCGGGTTCATATTTCGGAGGGCGCACAATGGCAGAGGCCTCGATCTATATTCAAGAAGAGGCGGCGGTTCGTTGTCTATTCCGGTGAGATGCCCCCCTCGCCCATGCGCACCCGTCACTCAATGGCGCGCGTGTTCTTGTGGAGGTGGTGGTGATTGAGTGTATTATGAAACGAGTGCTGCGGCTCATGGCTGTAAAGCAGGTATGAGTTCAGATGATTGGAGGGGCTAAGAAGGTTGCTGAAGGCGAAGATCGTGGTTCCCAGTCAACCTACGACTTGGCACTGTCGACATAGGGGATGGTTGGACAAGAACGACAGGGGCATGAGATGGAAAGGGAGGATTCGAAGGGACGTCGGGGTTTTCGAGGCTTTTGGAAGTTTGTTGCTGATCGATTAGATGCTAGTACATGGACAAATCCCATAGTAATCTTGAACACACGTATCTTTTCGCTTGAGACCACATACTCTGGAACTTGACTTGCACACTCGTGTGCTTGAATCGGGAGAATGCCCGCGCCACCTGGTCGAATAGCTTGAGGGTCAACGAGAGTTGCCTGGTTCTTCATGTAGGACTATAGCCATGTCTCTGAGTGTGCTTCTGTTTCCATTACGCCACGGATCTCATCACCCTCGGTTTCCACCTAGACTGTTCATCCTCCCAACTGAAAACGTGACCAAAGAACCGCGCCGTGTAGCTTGGCAGCGGCTGAAAGCCGGTCCGTATCAGGGTATGCTGTTTAGTGATCTGCGAGAAAGGGGTGATGAAGTATGATCAACCCATCGGACGACTTTTTGGTCGTTTCTTGTTGGTGCTATACTGCGGTTGGCGCTGCTTCGAGCATGTTCGCACGCCCTTACGATTAATCGCCTGGCAATCGTGGGCTTGTTTCCCCCGTATCTATCGGGTGACTCTGGACGACGTTCTTGGACCCTATGCTTTCCGAGAGCTTGAAATCGTTCGAGTAGATTGAAATGCCATGGCAGAGGCGGAAGATCGGTTGCGGACTTCTGTAGGGCACGTCTACGTCTTCTGGAGGCTCACCGGATCCCTACCCGGGGAGCCGGGCTAAGACACGGCGTGGAGTTCCGGGCCGCAGGCGAGGTTTGGACATGTACTAGAACGAAACTTGGCGGGGCAAAATGGAGGGCGGGGTCATGAAGTTGAGGAAAATTTATGTGACGAACGGGTTCCGGAGTGGACAGATCTCAGACGCTTGAGTCGCTGGCTCTCGCAAGAATGGCATCGTCTCGACCGAGAATCTTTCAACTTCGGGGTTACCATGCTGACTTTACTACACAGAAGTCCGACATTGGATGATAAGCAGACAGGTCTCTCAGATCCCTTCCCCAACCCGGCTATGTTTCCTCCGCCGTCCATCCTCGATCTCGATCTCTGGATGACGGTGCGATTCGTGCCGGATACGACAGTACGACAGAGACCGCGGTCCCGGGCTCCTTGGCTCGGGGGGTTGTTGTGGTGAGCTGCGTCCCCCGGAGCAATCTAGACTTCATCGGCTCGGGTCGACTGACGGGTGTGAAGTCAGGTGCCCATAATCCAGACCGGATGAAGATCAAGACTCTGACAATTGACAGGATTATCACCGCGTTCAAGTTCCGAACCCGCGAATGAGAGCTGACCAAGTGAGGGAAAGAACTCTGATCCACTCCGTCTCACGCAGTCTCGAAATGGACACAAGAAGGGCTCCTACGCGGCATACCCTCTGTGCTTCATTGCACGGCTCATCGGCCAGACTACGGAGCGAGGAATGAACTGAGCAAACACCACTATCGCATGCTTATCAACTTGACGATAGCTGACGAGCGCCGTGTCGAGAAGATGAGAGGCGCACCGTGGATTGGAATTGGGACGCGGGCGGTCTCGTACAGCTACGAGGGACGTCGATGGCCCAGACCGCAGGGCTCTCTCGGGCGTGAGGCTTCTACTATACCATGCGTACGTGATGCATTCGAGTCATATGGCTATTCCGGATATACGTTTTTGCTGTTGCTGCGACGGAAATGGCCGCCAGTGTTATGGCGTGACTGGCACCAAATCAGACTAACAAAGACGTCGATTTACGACCGCAATCCAGTTTCTTACTGTGTGATTGGGACTCACATCTACCGGATTGTCAAGCCATCGCCGCGGCAGACAGCGCTGACATGATAATCATTTGGTTGGCGTGGAGGGCGCGGAACACACACCGAGATTAGGTCGAGATGGGATAGGGTTTGCAAGCCCAGCAGGCGAAAGCAAGTGAGACTCCTCTTTCGCCGTAAGGCGAACTCGTCGAAACGTCCTCCCACAAGCTTATGTGAGCGTGGGAGCAGCAATGTGTGTGACGACCCCACGCTGTGGAATGTATCCGTAGAGATATACCTAGACCGGCTGGCCGATACCGCTCTCGGGCCAAGGGCTCACGGCGGGTCGGCGTTCGTCTTGGTTCTTGTCTTGGAAAAGACTTTACAAAAGCTTGACCATACCATTGCCGAAAGTCGCTGTTGGTCCTCTTCGACAGAGGCTCGATGCCACACGCACGCCACGACCAGGACGAACGTGACAGCCCCGGATCTCAACGTGATTGTGCTTACGATATTGCAGTTTGTCTCTTCTCACATGACTTCCGTACCTCTTCGCCTCTTATCGCCACCGCGTTTCAGGAGACGGCCAGACACCTGGATGACTTGACGGTGACACAAACCCAGGACGAGAAAGGAAGACGACGAGAGGACCACATGCCAAGCTTCTGCGGAGATCTCAATCAAACAATGGTCCGTGCAAAACCCTGTCTCCTCTCCACGCCATCCACACGCGTGGCGTTCTCTTATCTTTGCCCCCTGTCCGTGGTTCGTCCTCTGGACTGATAAACACCGCAAAGATTTGCAACCTCAACTCAGATGGCAAACGGCAACGATATCAAAGGGTGTGACCTAGCCTGGCTGTCGACTCTCTCAATTTTCCCTTATCATTTCTTGGCCGCCGGCCGTCTCCACCCCGGGGTTACCGTGACCGATCCTCGCACCTCTGAGCTCTCTGATGCCATCTGGGGAGTTTATCACAAGCTTTACCCGTTTTTGGCGGCCCCGTCGTATCAAGGCCCCCGTTGGAAATAAAGGACGTTACCCCGAACAAGCATCCGTCTGACACCCGAGTGGCTGCAGATCCCTAAACGTTTGTCCAGAAACGGCTCGATGTCATTGGCTCGGAAGGATGCACACGGCAGCTAGCCGCTACGCCATTTCTATGACTGATTGAATTTCGGCCTTATCTCTGGCCTGCATGCCAGAGGCTTTTTCTTTGGGTGGCTGTCTGACGAGGGATATACCGTTTTGCTTTTCAGAAGCTTCGTATCAACAAGCCTGCGAATTAAGGTGGTTTACAATCTCAGTGTTCTGGGTCTAACCATGCATGCTGCCCCCCTCCCTCTCTCTGATACTACTGTCCCAGCCATCTCACGCCATGGCACGAATCCCAAGCAGTTCGGCGGCGGTATCTCCAGATCTGAGTGGGGGCCAGAACAACGCCTTTGTGCCTATTGAATGAGAGCCCTGACACATGGGACAGGGCGACGGCAGTTGGATCTCCGATAGCCGTAGGTCAGTACTCGGCTGTCGATGCTGCCGCCGGCCAGCTGTCTACCTGTCCGGGGGAACCGAGTGCATACATATAGGTCCGTGAGCCCAGGCCCGTCATGCCGGGATTCAGAGGTCAAGCTCGCAGCTGCTTGCTCCGCCACAGCATACAACCGTAGTCTGATTTCCCGACGAATTGGTCCAAGATGGTAACCGCAGCTCTCAGCCAGGGCGTCGGCTACGGCATTGTCCTCGGCCTGGGCTTGCTATTCGCCATTGGCATGGTAGGCCACATACATCCCTGATGTGCGCCCGATGTTTGTTTAACCGTGTGTTGACCCGGTCACAGATCGCCACCACCTATGTCCTCAAACGATACAACAGGGAGCTGCAGACTTCCGAGAACTTCACCACGGCCGGGAGGACGGTCAAGTCCGGCCTCGTCGGCTCCGCGGTCGTCTCGTCCTGGACATGGGCCGCCACGCTCCTCCAGTCCTCCGGCGTGTGCTACCGGTACGGCGTCTCTGGCCCGTTCTGGTACGCCTCGGGCGCCACCGTCCAGATCCTCCTCTTCGCGACGCTCGCCATTGAGCTCAAGCGCAGGGCGCCCAATGCTCATACGTTCCTCGAGGTCATCAAGGCGAGGTACGGCACGGCCACGCATCTCGTCTTCATCGTTTTCGGCCTGATGACCAACATCCTGGTCACCCTGATGCTCATCGTGGGTGGTGCGGCGACCGTCAACGCGCTCACTGGCATGTAAGTCGTGGCAGTCCGGTCCAGATTGTCGGCGAGGGGGTTGTTGGCTGAACCCTTGAACTTCACAGGCACACCGTCGCCGCGATTTACCTGCTTCCCGTCGGTGTTGTCGCCTACACGCTTGTCGGCGGACTGAAAGCGACCTTCCTCACCGATTGGGTCCACACCTTCATCCTGCTCATCATCATCATCATCTTCTCTTTGACGACGTACGCCAACTCCGACGTGCTCGGCAGCCCGTCCAAAGTCTACGACCTCCTCGTCGACGCTGCCCTCAGACACCCCGTCTCGGGCAACGCCGAGGGCTCGTACCTGACGATGAGGTCGCAGGGCGGCGTCGAGTTCTTCGTCATCAACATCGGTGAGTGCTCCCGGGTCCTTCCTGGCCTACACTGCCGCCGTTTCGGGTGTTCCCGAGGTTTTCTAACGTGAACAGTGGGCAACTTTGGCACCGTCTTCCTGGACAACGGCTACTACAACAAGGCCATCGCCGCGTCTCCCGTCCACGCTCTCCCCGGCTACATCCTCGGCGGCCTCTCGTGGTTCGCCATCCCCTGGTTGACGGCCACGACCATGGGCCTCTCGGCCCTGGCCCTCGAGTCGAGCCCGCGCTTCCCGACCTTCCCCGACCGCATGACCGACGCCGAGGTTTCCGCCGGCCTGGCCCTCCCCTACGCCGCTGTCGCTCTCCTCGGCAAGGGCGGCGCCGCGGCGACCCTGCTGATGATCTTCATGGCCGTCACCTCCGCCTCGTCCGCCGAGCTCATCGCCGTGTCCTCCATCTTCACCTACGACATCTACCGGACCTACTTCAAGCCCGACGCCAGCGGCAAGCGCCTCATCTACATGTCCCACGTCGTCGTCGTCGTGTACGCCATCGTCATCAGCTCCGTCTCCGTGGGCCTCTACTACAACGGCATCTCCATGGGATACCTCTACCTGCTCATGGGCGTCCTCATCTCCGCCGCCGTGCTCCCTGCCACCCTGACCCTCGTCTGGAAGGGCCAGAACAAGTGGGCGGCGACGCTCTCGCCCATCGTCGGCACCATCTTCGCCATCATCGGCTGGCTCGTCACTGCCAAGAAGACGTGCGGCGTCCTCGACGTGGCGTGCACGGGCTCCAACAGCCCGATGCTGGCCGGCAACGTCATTGCCCTGCTCTCCCCGGTTGTGCTGATCCCCGTCTTCACGCTGGCCTTTGGCATCGACAAGTACGACTGGAAGTCGATGATGGCGATCCGTAGGGGCGACGACCACGACCTGGCCAGCGCGGCCGGCCTGGATCTGGAGGAAGTCACGGGACACCACGAGTCGCAGGCGGACTTTGAGCGGGAGCAGGCCATGTTGTCTCGCGCGTTCAAGATATCCGTCTCCATGACGGTGTTCATGTAAGTTGCCGATGCCGGATCTGCTTCCTTTTTTTTTTTCTTTCTTTTTTTCTCTCTCCGTTGATGAGGGATGCTAACCGTGGACTAGGACCATTGCGATGCTCATCCTGTGGCCGATGCCCATGTACGGCTCCGGCTACATCTTTAGCAAGCCCTTCTTCACCGGCTGGGTCGTGGTTGGCATCCTCTGGATCTTCTGCTCCTTTTTCGCCGTCGGCCTGTATCCCATCTTTGAGGGCCGCGCGACGCTCATCCACACCGTAACGTCGATGGTGTCCGGCAAGAAGCCGACGCGGCACAGCACCACCGTCACGCACGCCGAGCAGGAGGTCACGGAGAAGACGAGCCCCGGCACCGTCACACCGGAGAATAAGGACGGAGGCAAGGAGACGATCTCGTCGTGATTGACTAGAGAGACTGTGTGAGAAACGGCTCGATAAATGATGCTTGCATGACTGATGGAGAGAGAGGGGGGGAATGTCGTGGTTCGGAGTCGTGGTTGCACTATACCCTCGTTTACATACCAATTGTTCAAGAGAAAACGATATCCAGGATTTTTAGGGAAGTAATAGGAAAATCAAAAGCAAGGAGTACTGAATGCCTTGGAGTAAACCGGACATTTCTTCAGCACGCCATCGAAGCGCCCGTGTTTCTTGCTTATGGATGCAGGTGGTGTAGCCTCCCCCTGCTATCGCCCTGCAATCCATGGACCCTCGATTTTCCTAGGTGATTGCTAGACCAATAATGCGTACCTATGCCAATGGATGTGTAGAGTATGCATTGTGAAGAGATAATGGCGAGGCTTACGAATACATGCTCGCTCGGTCTCACGGTGCCGACACGGGGGTTTAGAGACTCCGCTTGGTCCGCGGCCTTCCTGATCGGGACACTGTGCCCCCCCCCCCCCATCCTACCTAAACCTTCAAAGCTCCCACTATAAAACGTCCGCTAAGGGTGCTTAAGTCTCATCCTGACATCGACATCTTCATTGTTTCATCAGCACAGCGGCTCGCTTTGCCGCTTTTCATCGGTTGACTGTATAATTTATCCTCTGAGACCCCAATCGGAGGAGAAAGCCACGCAGAATATGGTCCAGCTCACGTCCCTGGCGGTCTCCGGGCTCGCTCTGTTTACCGGACTCGCGTCCGCAGTCGCGACGCAGAAGGACTTCGAGTCGCCCGAGTTCACCACCTTTTCGGTCCCCGAACACCCGCACCACGCGATCCGTATCAAGGAGCAGAGTGACGAAATCTGCGATGCGGGCTCGAGGCAATGGACCGGCTGGCTGGACACGGGCGGAAAGCATCTGTTCTTTTGTAAGTGGCTGCGTCGCACGGCAGTACCGGACCCCCGTTACTAAAAAACCACCTTTGATAGGGTACTTTGAGAGTCTGAACGATCCGGAGAAGGATCCTCTCAGCCTGTGGATGACGGGCGGCCCAGGTGGCAGCGGCCTCGTTGGTACGTAAACATTCATGTCACCGACTTGGTTCTCAATGGCAGAGGGGCTCGACCTGACCCGACGACTAGGCCTCATGCTCGAATTGGGGCCCTGCCTGATCAACGACAACGGCACGGGCACCGTTCACAACCCTTATGCCTGGAACAGCAACTCGTCCATGATCTTTGTCGACCAGCCCGCCGGTACGGGGCTCTCCTACTTCGACAAGGGCGTCACACCTCCCGCGACGTCCTATACGGCCGCCGAGGACATGAACATCTTCCTCCGCATCTTCTACAAGGCCTTCCCGCACCTGGCCACCCGGCCCTTCCACATCGTCGGCGAGAGCTACGGCGGCCACTACATCCCGACGCTCGCCGCCGAGATCGTGCGCTACAACACCGGGTCCCCGGCCCCCGACTTCAAGGTCCCGCTGGCGTCCGTGATGATCGGCAACGGCTTCGTCTCGCCCGCCGACACGACCTGGGGCTTCTACGACACGCTGTGCACGACGAAGCCCGGCGTGCCCGAGCCCGTCTTCAACGCCAGCAGCTGCGCCAAGATTGCCGACGCGCTGCCGCGGTGCATGTACCTCCAGGAGGCGTGCTACAAGTACCCGGACCCCATCATCTGCCACGCCGCAGGCGACTTCTGCTTCCAGAGCATCGAAGTGCTGTATTACCAGGACGTCAAGCCGGGCGGGCGGAACCCGTACGACATCACGCGGCCGTGCGAGACGGAGACCATCTGCTACGGCGCCGGCGTGGGCATCGAGGCATACATGAACTCGGGCCGGATCCGGGCCGCGCTCGAGATCCCCGCGGGGGTTGGCCGGAACTTCAGCCTCATCTCGTGGGACACCAACCGCGCGTTCGAGCTCGCGGGCGACACGGCCGTCCCCACCGAGGCGGAGGTTAAGTACATCCTCGAGTCGGGCGTCGACGTGCTCGTCTACAACGGCGACCTCGACCTCGCGTGCAACACGGCGGGCAACGTCCGGTGGACCAACAAGCTGTCGTGGGCCGGACAGGTCGAGTTCAACGCCAAGGAGTTCGAGCCCTGGTTCGCGGTCAAGGGCGGCGAGAGGGTGCGCGGGGGCAAGTGGAAGCAGGTGACGAAGCCGACGAGGGGCGGCAAAGAGACGCGCTTCACTTTCGTGACAATCGATGGATCAGGACACATGGTGCCGCTGGACCAGCCCGAAGTCGGGCTGGAGATGGTGAGGAACTGGCTGTACGGTGATTTCGGCAAGGCTGCCGAGGGTGGTGTCGAGGTCAAGCTGGCCGGGAACGAGGAGCAGTTTGTGTCGTTGGAGTTGTGAAAAGGGGCGGAGAGTAAACCGGCCACACTCGATGACCTGGGGTCGGCGGTGGGAAGTCGTCTTTTTGACGAAACAGCTAACTAAACCGAATAGGCGCGGAAATAGCACCCGTTATCTCGGGACTGCCGTACGGAGTAAGTACACTGATACAGATTTAGCATGCCGCTCAAGTTGTCGCCGGATTCATCGGCGAACGGCGATCGGCAGCGAAATTACAAACTACATCTTGATACGCAAGTGCACTGAGCTCGCTGATTCGTAATGCGGGGAGACTTGAACAGCCGTTCAAGGGGTGGGTGGTGGGCTCTGACTTGTTGAGGGATTCGAAGGAGCGGGATACCGGTTGATTCAGCGGGCACTCGCTCGTTCAGCATCCCGCATTCCACGAGGTGCGGAAACGAGGGGCGAAGCCAACTATATCGAATACCAAACGGCATCGACGGACCACTGGTTCGATGCCATGACGATGGCGGAGCATTGAACGCACCAGGGCTGTCTCGGTTGTCCTACAAAGCGGACGGACTGCTTCAATCCCACCGAACACTCCACCGTTGCATCACCTAGGCGAGAACAAGACGGCTATTCGAAGATGCATTCAATTTGATGACCACACTCCTGGATGGCCTGGACTCCAGAGCCGAAGCCAACTAGGGAGCCTTGGACTGAAGAGCTAGTGTCTGAGTTGCTTTGCCTGAGTTTGCGTCTCGGAGACGACCTTCACTCACACTCGGATAGTGTCAGGCACCGCCACCGCCCCCTTCAGACTAAACCAGAGCAGACTACTGTACTGGCTGACTGCATCCAGCGATAGGTTTTTATAGCAGCAAGAGGCTGCACAGTGATAGCAACGTGGTACAGCTTCTGCTGAAACCTAACTAGTCCGACGGATGTGTCCACGCCCCGCAAGCCGGACCCTGGTTCGGTACCCCTGCCGAAGGATCGCGGTCGCATCGACGAGACTCGGCAGCACCTCTCAGCGCCTGTAGAACAATGGGGATTTGCTTGGCCCCTAATTTGAGCCCCGTCCCACAACAGTGCCGCATTCCCGTTGTATGCTTTTTCCTGCTGCCTGGTGTGTGTCCCTGGGAGATTTGAGAGATACCTAGTGTACGGATACCTAGGTGCCTACCGTATCCTCTCATTAAATGCAAGATCCGCACGGGCCACGGGCTGCTGGAAAGGGGTAAGCGGGCTGGCAGAAACAGGGATCTAGATGTAGCAAATGCAAGGCGTCATTTACGTCAGCAGCGAGTTAGGTGGCAAGGGTTAGGGTTACATGGGTTAGTGGGTGGCTAGGCTGGCTGACCGCCTTTCGAAATAGGCTTAATCTGTGGTCTGTGCGCATTTTGCATTTGATGAGAGGATACGGTAGTATTCGTACACTCCGGACACATACAGAGCATCCCTACATGGCCTCCCCGACTGGCTGGCCGAGTGTCTCTCTTTTTGTCTCGCGTGACGGGACAACAGATATGGGGGCTCAGCGGCCAAGGTGTTGGATTGGAATTTGGAACAGTAAGTGGTCGGCGCGAGTTCGTCGTGGGCCCCCCCCTAGACGGCGTGAGCTGGAAGGATCCTGTGCTTCCCATGTCCCCCTGCTTATCCTGCTCCGAATCCTCTCTTTTTCTCTCTTTTTGCCCTTCTACACTGCGCCGGCGTCTAGAGTTGTTGTCTTGACTTGCTGCGGACAGCCTCATCATCGCAGAACTTGTTTGTCTTGGCGTGACATCCCGTACCCTGGTAATACTGGATACGCCTCTTACACGAGAGCCTCATTCCTACTAATACATCCCCCACCACCAAACGGCCCCCGATCCCTTCGCCTTCGCAGGTCCTTTCACAGCCTACGCATACAGACTCGCTCGCTCTCGAAGATGGCGTCAACAAAAACGACGTACATCGCGTCAACATTTCCGGAAAACCCCCTCCCGACCGCCAACTTCTCACCGCCCGCGGCCTCGTGCTCCGGCATCTACCTCACAAACAATGTGTACGCCATCGACAACGACAACAAATGTCTGCCCGACAAGTTCAACGGCGCCAGCACCGCCTTCTACTCCCCCGGAACCGCCTGCCCGACGGGCTACACTGCCCAGCCGCAGTGCTCGCGCAACGGCGGCGTCCGCTCCATCACCACCGTCACTTGCTGCCCCTACCGCGGCGATATGACACTGTCCTGCGTCGAGGACGACATGACGCTCGCGGGTGTCTGGGAGACGCAGTTCTGCACCTGGATGGCTGGCCCCGCCACCGTCGTCGACATCACGCGGACGGACGACGGCAAGGTGGCCACGCAGGCTGTGACGATGAAGAACCGGGACGGCGTAAACGCGTGGGGTATCAGGATGGTGTACCAGGCGAGCGACCTCGTGCCCCAGACGACATCGTCGGCGACGACCGACACGACGGGCACGGGAACCGCGACGGACACGAGAACCGCGACGGACACGAGAACCGCGACGGGCACGGGAACCGCGACGGGAGCGGGTCCCACCGCCACCAGCGGCGACAGCGGTGACGGAGGCTTGGGCATCGGCTCCATCATCGGCATCGCGGTCGTCGTGCCAGTCGTCCTGGTCGCGGCGCTCGTGGGCCTATTCTTGTGGTGGAGGCGGCGGAGACACCAGTACGCGGGCGTGAAGCCCGTCGACGCGACACCAACGGCGCCCGAGATGGACGGGCAGTCGCCGATGAGCAGCGCGTACGCTTACCAGCACCAGCACCAGCATCCACCGCCAGTGCAAGAGATGACGGGGACGAGCGTCGGGGAGTACTACAACAACAGCAACGACAAGGTGTTGACAAACCCGGGGGCGGGAGGAGGCCACACACAGTTCAAGGGGTGGACGGAACCGGCGCATGTAGCAGAGCTGGGGACCGGGGATGGGCCGACGGAGCTGCCCGCGGATAACGTTCGGAGGTAGCAGGAGGGGGAGGGGGGGCGCTGAGTGGTTAGACGACGGCGAAAGACGGGCTGCGAGATGCTAAAGAAGGTAGAGAGGGAGAGGGAGGGCGGCGTAATGAAGAGGAAATGCTTGGGAGTTGGATATATCACTGCCGTCGGAGGCCTCATTTCACACTAGCGTGGATGGCGTTATGATGCCCATTTTCATCGAGAGGCGCAACACTATCAAGACGGGGTTGCCGATGCAGACCATTCGGCCGCGATATTCGTACACATTAACTTCTGATTTTATAAAGAGCGTATGAATCCAAAAGAAGCCTAGATATCTGCCGAATGCGTAGCTGCACTTCCACTACTGGCAACCTTAGCGATGCAAGAAGTGCCTGCTGGTGACCGTGTCTCATGAACGCAGAAGAAGCCTGCAGAAGGATGTAACATGATTGATGTGGATAGGAAACCCCGTATTGGGGTGTGAAAAAGAAAAGGATGAACGGAATAAGATGGGCGGGAGCAATAAAGCTGCTCACACGCACACACACACACCGCCTACGGTTTCTGGCCGGGGAAAACTACCCCGCCACCCCGCCATCCATCCGACCTGCAAAAAAATTCAATCTCGCTGCGGCGTGCCCATCCATCCTGCTTATCAAGCATGTAGAACACCCTTTGACGATTAATAAAGCTCTCTCGGCTTCCGCCCCTACATAATACGAAACGATACCCGGCGGTTCCCTCTCTCAGTTCGACGACGTACAAACCAAACCACCTCTCACGACAAAAGCAAACAGACACCTCGAGCAGGCGCATTACCTCGGAAAAGCGCGAAACCACCTGCGGCGCGCGCAAAGGAGCCCGGCAGCAAAAGGGACAGAAACGCACCTTAAGAAGAATAAGAAGAAGCAGAACCCCCAAGAAACACATAGACGAAATGTCCGCCCCCAAGGACAACAACACACCCCAGGATGACGGCCACGAGTCGGAGCCCGAGATGCTCGAGGCCGACGAGGTTGGCGAGGAGGTCAACGTCGACGAGGAGGACGTGCCCATGGACTCGGACGACGAGAACGAGGAGATAAACCTGCAGAACGACTCGGTCGCCTATTTTGACGGCCACAAGGACTCCGTCTTCGCTATAGCCCAGCACCCCGTCCACCCGACGCTGATCGCCACGGGCGGCTCCGAGGGCGACGGCGACGACGCCCCCGGCAAGGGCTACCTCATTTCCACCGCCGCCGCCGCCTCCCGGCCCGTCCTGCCGGCCTCGTACTCGGGCGAAGCCGCGCCGCAGCAGAGCACCGCCCTCGAGAGCATCTACGCCATCGACGGCCACACCGACTCCATCAACGCCCTCGCCTTCACCCTGCCGCGCGGCGACTTCCTCGTCACCGGCGGCATGGACGGAAAGCTACGCGTCCACGCCCTGCGCGTCAACTCGCCCACCGCCGAGGCCGCCAGCGTCCAGATCAAGTTCATCGCCGAGGCCCAGGAGGTGCCCGAGATCAACTGGATCGCCCCCTGCCCGTCCCCGCGGTACCCCAACACCATCGCCATCGGCGCCAGCGACAACTCGGTCTGGGTCTACACCATCGACATCGCCGCCGGCGGCGGCGACCCGGCAAACGCCCTGCAGATCGTCCAGACCTACTGGCTGCACCAGGCGCCCGTCACCGCCGGCGCCTGGACGCCCGACGGCAACCTGCTGTGCACCGTCGCCGAGGACTCGAGCCTGTACGTGTGGGACGTCTGGGGCGAGGCGGCGGCCGCGGGCCTCGTCGAGAGCAACGGCCAGACGACGGTGAGCATGACGGGCGACGACCAGCGGTTCGAGGTCGAGGGCGGGCTCTACAGCGTCGCCGTCGACCCCAAGGGCGCGCTGGTGGCCGTCGGCGGCGCCGGCGGCGCCATCCGCATCGTCAGCCTGCCGCGGCTCGCGGGCAGCGCGCAGGCGGGCAAGGCCGGCAAGGGCGGCAAGGGCCGGGCGGCGGCGGACGTGGCGGCGGGCGGGCAGATCCTCGCGGCGCTGCAGACGGCGTCGGACAGCATCGAGGCGCTGAGCTTCACGACGGCGGCGGGCGGGCCGGGCCAGTTCTCGACGCTGCTGGCGGCCGGGTCGGTGGACGGCAGCGTCGTCGTCTTCGACGCGGGGCGGAGGTTCGCCGTGCGTCGCAGCCTGCCGGGCGCGCACGAGGAGTTCAGCGTCGTCAAGGTCGAGTTCGTCCGCGACAGCTGGCTGCTCACGACGTGCGGCATGGACGGCGTCGTGCGGCGCTGGGACCTGCGCGCGCAGGACTCGGGCCTGGTCAAGGAGTGGCGCGGCCACCGCGGCGACGGCGAGGGCGGCGGCGTGCTGGGCTTCGTGCAGGGCGAGACGGGGGAGAGGATCGTCACCGCCGGCGACGACGGCGTCGTCTTGGTCTTTGAGGCCTAGCCACGGTCTGCTTCTGGGTTCTCGGGGGTTGTTGTCTTTTGATTTGGCCGGCGGTTTCTTGGCATGATGATGATGAAGATGGGATAGATAAAAGAAAAAGACAAATGGTTCCCACAGCTGCAACGAAACCGTGTGGGTGTGACGATGGCTCGGAATGCCTCATGAATAGGAGTTTCACATATTGCTAGCAATTTCTTTCCTCCCTTGGCAGTCTTTTACGCGCTTGGCCCGCTCTTGATCTGCGTCTCAGTCTTTGTGTGCGTTTGACAGGCGTGTCCCGTTGGTGTCTTACAACAGAAGCTTGGAGAAGGGCCCGCGGGAAGCGGCCGACCAAGACATTCATGTTTTTTGAGTTCGTCCCAGGTGCTTTGGTTGAGCTTGATAGCCTAGGCCGTTTCCGTCCGACGGCCGCGGCTCTGACAATTCCTCTTGTACTTTGCCTCTTTACTTTCATCATCGTACGGCCCCATCCGGGGATGGCTTCAAAATATCAAATCCCCCCAGGCCGTACAAACGGACCCGATTCTGTCCTTGTCCCCTCCAAACCTCGTCGACTGTCCCCCCAATCCGTTATGAACGGCCCAACCATGGACGGTCTGAGGAGCGACCAGGCCCTCGGCCTCGCCCTCGTGATCTTTGGCGTCTTGGAGTTCCCGCTGGCCTGCTTCCTCCTGGCGTGCTCTTGGCTGTCGTGGGAGTCCATCATCCGACGTGAGTAGTCTTCCCCCCCCCCCCCCCCCCCCCCAGTCTCGCCACGCGTTGGCAGGGAGGCGCGTGGGGATTAGCAGCTGACAACGGTCCAGTGTACGCACTACTCGGGATATACCCGTTCCTCGACCGCTTCGCCGGGCCGGCGGCTCGACACTTTCTTCTGGAGACCTGGCGGGGACACTGAAGGGTCTTCGTTCACTCCATGTGTGTTGCAAGGATGCGGCCATAGTCATGCTCTACTATCATTGATGTCACACTCTCCCTAGCAAACGGTATCGGGACACCAATGATCCGGCCAATCTGCTAGTATAGCACGTTGCTTTTACGAATCATCTTCGAAGGTATTGCGTTATCTGAGCACACAAAACCTGTGTAGGATAATAGTCACCATTCACGTGCCAATATGACGAACAACATCGAAAGCGGTCCTTGCTGCCGAGGAATCACGTTGCATCCAAAGTTTGTACTAATCATTCATATTCTCATTATGACTACCTGGTTGTAGTCACCACCAGACGGCGCTTCAAATCATGGTGGTTGGTTATCATCCTCTCTCCGGTTTCCATGCCGTACCCCTCAAACTTCCCGTGCTTGGACGTAAACTTAGTTGGTACGCTTTCTGCCGCCCTGACCAGCGTCGGGATGACTGGCGAAAGGTTCGCTCAAGCCGCCGCTGGCGGGAAGACCGTCGACGGCAAGGCCCTTCTCTGGCTCAGGGAGGGGCGCCGTCTTTTCGGCGCGGCCAACGTGGGGGTCCTGTGTAACGTGCAGGTCAGTACTTGCGGCTGGGCGCAAAGGCGACAACGGACAAGCCCTACCTTGACCTCCCCGGCGCCGTGGATAATGTTGTGGCCAGGCTCGATGGCGTTGTCAGATCGACCAGTTCCGTCGCGAGGCATGGTGGGTGATATGTGTGAATGGTTGGTGGGAGTGTTTGGTTGTTGATGATGATGGGAAACTTTGTGGAAAGGGCAACCGATAGTTCGCTTTTAGGTATCGATGATGTAGTGAAGATGGAAGTTAAGAAGGCGATCGAGGCGGCGGAAGCAGTTTCTTTAAATGAACGATTTCTGACGGTCGAAGCTGTCAACTGCCCCACGTAGAGGGATGAGAAGCTATGAGCTCGACTTTACGTCACCCGTTAGTACCTGCCGCTGAGCTCTCGAACTAGACTACACTACACGTAAATACCCAGGTACATAGCACCTGTGTATCTGTACGCGGCTTCACGGGAGAAAAATTACATATTGTACACGTACGTATCTAGGTATCTTGCTGTAGAACTCACTATGAGGCTGGAACTATCCTGGATCAATTGTTCCCGCCCCCGGCGCCAAACGTCATGATGTGGGGAATGATGCCGCCCACCCACATCGGATCGTCAGATCGGTGCCGTCCCTTGGCTCCCGCAGCGTCACCTCTACCACCACTGCTGGTGCATCTAGGTGCCTAGGTACCTAAGCACCCTATTTGGGTAGGTAGATACATTGGTACAGCAGAACCCACCCACCCGTACCTGTGCACAAGGTAGGTACGTACCAAAGGTGATGTACTCACTCCTCCACTGCAACCTCGGAGGAAATGTCCCGCATCGCGTGCTCTGGCCGACAAACGCCATCTGCTCCATCCTCTTCCTAAACATAATTTCTCATTATTTTATGGTTTCTCCATTTCTCATCATTTTACGGTTTCCGCATTCTTCGAACTGGGCCGCCAGCACACGGTCTTTGGCCGATGACGACAATCAACCCAATCCATCTGGTAATGGCTTGCAGCAATCGGTTCTTGCGCCATGCCGATGCTTCTCAACCTCTGCTTATGATACTTCTCGCTTCACTTGGGGCGAACAAGCTCATGATGCCGGCTTGACGAGCCGTTGAGCATAGTTAGAAGCGACCAAGCATGACGAGGCACCGTTTTCACCTCCAACCCACCAAGGCGACCCGGCTATGTGCAGCCAATGGTTCCGGGGGGAGGTCTGGCATTGATGGTGCATAAGTGATAAGTGCTCATAGTACTAGAAAGTGGCTTGTATGCAACGGAGCATTCTTTCGGCCCCTCCAGCACAGGCCGCAATACATCACTTTAACAGAAACGAAAGCCTAATCCCGAGATGCAGTCTACTCCATTTAACAAGACCCGTTCCGACGAGTCACGATACCACATCGTTTGCGCCCTAGCCAGACCCTTACCCTGTCCGCCCTGAGAAGCGGACTAAGACCTCGGCAAAAAATCGTTCACGCTGGTCGGCGCCCAAGGGTCCGCTGTCGAACGCCCAGGTTGTACCTCGGTCAGGCTTCGTCTCGATAACATCACGCTGCGCTTCTTGGGTCAGGACGAGACACGTTGAATATCGATGCAGGCTTATTTTCATTATGGCATAACTATGGACAATCTCAGGTGCTGCTGGTACCGATGAGCTGCGACAGGCCGAGGACCTGAGCGGTGGTGATCTCCGTGGCAGACGTCTCCCAGCCCTCGTTGAACGGCAGCCGCTCCTCCTCGAAGACGACCTTCATCCACTCCAGCGGCGCGGCAGGCGCGCTGAAGCTCTGCCCGAGGGTGCCGAGGATCACGGCGGACTCGCCCAGGGACACGGTGACCTGGTTGGTGGGTAAGTCGAACTGCGGGTTCGTGGCCTTCGCAGTCGCGATACGCTTGCTGCGCGCCGCCGCCATGGTCTTGTAGTCGATCTTTCCGTCCGCCGACGCGCCGGCCTCGAGGTACCCCCTGGTCTCGGCCCAGACGGTTTCGTTGAACGTCTTTGCGTCGCCCGTGACGGCGAAGTCGGCGCGCGACAGGCTGCCGTCGTGCTCGATGACTTTGTGCTTGGCGATGTCGTCGAGGTTGAAGGTGTTCGGGTTTCCTGTCGTCGACGTCGCGAATGCGGGCGTGCCGAGGGTGCGCACGAGGCTCTCGTTAAAGTGCAGCGCCGTCCCGAGGCCGCTGATGAGGTCCGTCATGCTGATCTCCTTGCCGGTGTGGGGAAGGTAGCCGTGGTTCGCGAGCGAGTTGAGCATCGGGCAGGGGCCGCGGACGGCGTCAGCCCCGGGAGCCAGCCACGGGTGGGCAGGAACGTCGGCAGCGTTTGTGTTGGCGGCCATGGTGACAACGGCGGCAAGGACTGCTGAGGTGCGCATCTTGATGGATCTGTTGTGTGTTTGTGGGAGAGGGGAATAACAGAGGCACGAGAACGAGTGTGGGAGCTGGACTTGTAATGCTCAAACAAAGAGTGTGATGGTTTTGCTTTGCCGGTCTGTGTAACGAATGTGGTCTGCGGAGGACGAAGTGGTGAGCAAGAGGCGAAATGGGAAAGAGACGATGGAGGTTTTATACACTCTTCTCGACTGGAGTCTATAAACGAGCACTCGGCATATAGGACCGGACCTTTTACCTACATAAGTAAAGGAGACACTCGTCTAAAGCCATCGCCAGCGGCAACCCCGAGGGACGCAGCGACACCGACCCGTTCCTCATAGCCCCGGGCAGTAGCCGGGCTCTGTCCCACACGTAGTTCGACGCAGCGAGTTGGATATTGGCCCTCACCAGTGCCGATGCGAAAACACGGGATGTACGGATACGTGGAAGCCACGCCCATATGATATGACCAGGGTTTACTTACGGGTGGAAGCGTACTCATTTCCTCATTCTCCTTAGAGGGCCCCAGTCCTTCAATCTAGATGGTATGAATGCTCCCTCTTGGCGTGCGAATGACCTTTCCCGAGGCTGTCATTGGGTGGGGCGGGGTGGAGGGAGCGGCTCTGTTTAGCCGTGTACAATTGGATTTGCAGGCGACAGCTTGGCAATCCGGCCAACGTAACCTACTACGATAAGGTGAGAGGGATATCCCATGAAGTGCAATATGGCGTTTCCGGATGCGCATTACCTCGCCGGGGGGGCCTGACTTATGCACTAGGAGGGGGGGGACAAAATGTGGGGTCTGGAAGAGATTTTCTCTGCATAGGCTCCGATTGTAAACATCTTGTCAACAATAACCAACCAAATGCCTTGTTGGCTAAGTGGTATAGCGTCTCACTAGTACTCTAGTGTCATGAGAAGATCGGCGGTTCGATTCCGCCACGAGGCAATTTCTTTTGCCGGTTGTGCCATCTTGACTTGCACCCATCATGTGTCTCTGTCTGCATGTAATAGGTAGCAAGTAGGTAGACAGACAGTTAGTTCATAGACATGTGTGACGTTCGATATAGTGGCATTAGTAGAAAGCATTCATTCATTCATATAGATAGCCTCATGTAACAACTCCACAGTCTCTAAATGCAGCAGCAGCCTTCAACTCATCGCACCGCAGCTTCCGCACCCGCCCTCTCCTCCGCAGCCACCGCCGCAGCCGCTCCCGCACCCGGCAGCGCCCTCGACCGAGGGACAGCAGCTGTCAGGATGGTGGCCGCAGTCGCCGCACCGCGGGAACGCGAGGTCGGCAAGCGGCAGAACACCCACCGCCGCCTCCTCGTTCTGCAGCGCCGCCTCCACGACGCCGCCGTCGACGCCCGCACGCCCGCCCTCGCATGCCCAGCACAGGCACGCGTGGTAGGCCTCGCCGTCGAAGGCATCGGCCCAGAGCGCCTGCATGTCGGCGGCCAGCGCGCCGAGCGTCTCGTCGGCGATCTCGTCGTCGTGGTCGACGAGCCGCCCCGCCGCGGCGCGCTTCGAGAAGGCGAGGTACCGCGCCGGGCTGAGCTGGTGGGTGTGCCAGACGAGGTCGATGTCGAGCGTGGGCACCATGACGGTGCGCGGGTGCGCGGCGATGAGGTGGAAGAAGCGCGCGTACCGGGCCCGGGAGCGGGCGAGCGTCGAGGCGAGCGACGGGCTGCGCAGCCAGGCGTGGCGGGCCATCTTGGTCGAGAAGGAGAGCTGGCGCCGGATGGCGGCAGCGAGGGGGTAGGTGAAGAGCGGGGTGCCCGTCGGGGATCGGTGGGTGAAGACGCCGGTGTGGGCTGCGGAGAGGGAGGGGAGGTCGATGTCGGGGATTGTGAGGTTTGACTGTCGTCGGTGGTCAGCGACGAACTCTTCTTGTTACTCGTGACTTTCTCTCTCTCCCTCTCTCTCTCTCTCTCTCTCTCTCTTTCGTCCTTCCTTTTCACACGCACACCACCGTCTGACTCTACGGAGGGCAAGAACTCACAATCTCGGACCACTTCAGGCCGTCCAGTCCCAGCCGCCCGCCGAGCTCGATGAAGCGCGCGTACGCCTTGGGGTGCAGCATCAGGGCGTGCCACGCCATGAGCACGTCAACCGGCGGCATCCGCTCCGCCGGCCTCGGGCCGCCGGCGCTCCACGCCTCGAAGCGCGCGACGGCGCGGTCGCAGTACGAGTCCCAGGCCACCTCCGGGGCGAGGCCCGCCTCGGCAGCGAGCAGGCTGACGGTGCCGTGGAGAGCGACAAAGGTCTCGAGGAGCTGCAGATGGGCGGCGCACTCGGCGGCCGAGGGCAGCTCGCGAAGCGAGACGGCGGGGGCGGAGGCAGCCTGCGTCTGGGCTACGAGGTCCGGCTTCGAGGCCTGTCGGAGCTCGGCCGGAGGGGTCCTGTGTGGAGCTTGTGTTAACCGGGATCCGCGAAGGGGCTCTGAGAGAGAGAGATAGAGGGGGGGGAGAGGAAGAGAAAGACTTGACGAACTGGTTAGAGAGGGTGATGGCTGGCATGTTGGCGGCTCGTAGGACCCGGTCCTGTAGAATGATTCGAGGTACGTGGGAGCGAACTTGGCCCGCGGGTGTTCTACTAGAGTCTGTAGATTCTCGATCGGCTCTGGGTATTTTCACAACACTACACACGCAACGAGAACGAGATATTGAAGCTTGTCAACTTTCAACAACATGCACAGCGGAAAGGAGAAGGGGGGAGCGGGCAGCTGGTCTTCTTATCGGCACGACGCTTGACGGCCAACATGGAGGGGTATAGCCTTATCTCGCTGCATCGTTGCACATGACAAGCAGCAGCCTTGTGACCAGCCGCCGCGAATCCCAAAACGGCATGGAGGTGAGCAGGTTTCAGGACGCCGGCGCGAGACGGACCTGGCGGTGAGGAAGACGTGATTGGCGGAGGAGCTCGACTCAGGCGGCACAGAAGGCAAGGGAAAGATGGAGGATGAAGTGGAAACTTGCTCATATCCACATCCACACAGTCCCTTGAAGAGTCGGAAGCGGGCGTCGGGGGGTTCGGGCGCGGCCCCGCGCATGTTGGTTCAACGCTTGGTTCAAGCAAGATCCGCCGGCTAGCTGGGGTAAGCTAGGTAGGTAGCTATGCAACACTTCAGCTGACTAACCAAGTAAGACGATTGGGGGAGTCGGAGTGGGAGGGGTTGCTTGTGTTTTCTCCAACTGCCACGTCTTCACCTCTTCGCTTCTTCACATCATCCAGAACAGCGAACGGTCCGATGCGGCGAGGGAGCGTGACAGATAATGATGGAACACATCGTCATCTAACCATAATTGTCCTACCTCGAGCGACGGGCTGTGGAAGAGAGTGCGTTTGTCCGATAAAACCAGCCATCAAGCTCCGAGTCAGGACGGATGCTGCCGTAGCATTCACAAGCAAACATCCCAACTCCTCAACCTTATCCAGGAAACAAACACCACGAAACAACAGACACACGCACACACACGGCCCGTCTCAACACCCTCTCATTCACCCGGGAACGACGGCCTTCTCTCCCGCGTGAATCACGGCAGCCCCCGCCATTCCCTGCCGAGCAGGGTCTTCTGAATCACCCACTCCCCTACACAGGGCCGTCGTCCGCCACCGGCTCAAGACCAGGTAGGGGTGCCGCACATTGGCGGCTGTTTTCTTAGTCTTATCTGCTAGAATGGGGCTCGCAACCACATCACAACTTCCAGCTTAGCTCCCACATCGCCGAAGGTGTGAGGTGACATGTGTTAACGGTACATATTTGAGTGCTAGTTCAAACAGCCTGAATTTACTCCCTGATGCGTGAACGTGGTCGACACCGATGCTATGGTGACTGCAACGGTGAAAACGACACCCGGGACCGACTGTCAGCCAACAGGGGCGATCACAGATGGTGTGGTCGAGGGTGAGCTAGGCCTGGTAGCGCCGATCGAGCGCGCGGCCTTTTCCTGCGACGCAACATGAAGACGAATGGGGCGGCAGATGACATCGCGAACACGGAGGAGTCGCCGCAGAGGGCATGGGGCGGGAGTCCTACACCTGGCAGTGAGAGTTATCCATGGGTATCATGAGATGCGGTAGAGGGGCTACAAGTCCAGGGCGGTAGAACTCTGAAGGAAATGGCAATGTTGGTATCCGTGGCTGACGGCCGATGGCACCCTGATGGTAAGAAAAAGCTGTGGGATTTCCTTGGACAACTTGTCAATTCTACTAATGGTTAACTGCACTATTCTGATGCTCTGCCATGCCATGCTACGCTATGCTATCCGTTCCGAGCTCGAGAAAAAAAAAAAACCCTCTCAACAACCAGTGTCAAACGCAATCCCTTCCTAGTCTACCCGGCCTGCGAGTCTTCAAGACCACAGCTCGCGCCGGCGCCGCCTGGCTGCTGACTCCCCGTGCTGCCATGCCACTCACTATTCCATAGCCTTCCTGTGCTCCGCACCTGCCGTTCATCGTCCACCGCTTCTGAGGATGCCTGCATCGTAGCCTCGGCGCTCTTATACTGAATGAGAAACCTAGGCGAAGTCTGAATCGCCGTCGGAGCCGTGCCCCTCAAAGCCGCTGTCCGAGACAGAGAGCTGGCCGTTCTTAGCAGTGTCGTCAATGTCCAAGCCGTTGAGGTCGATACCAACACCCTCGTCCTCGACAGGAGAGGCGAGGTCGGAGTGGACGTCCTCGAGGTAGAGGAAGCCGTCGGTCTGGGGCTCCTGTTGAACCCCACCACCGTCATGGGATTTCTCCTCGCCCACATAGCCGCTCTTCCCCTGGAGAGACTCAACGAGCTTGGTCAGCTCGTCGATGCGGGCCTGAAGGAGGACGATCTCGGTCTGGTCCAGCTCCTTGAGCTCCTCGAGGCGCTTGATCTTGGCCTGCGCCTGCGCCAGGGCTTGCTTGAGCTGGCAGATCTCGGTCTGGTCGAGGTCGGCCATGGTGGTGGCCTGGTTGAGGAGGTCGGAGGCCATGTCCAAGGAAGGTAGGAGTTTGAGGGAGTTAAGATGTCCTGGTGTTGGGTGGAAGTTGTTGATGGGAGGGGGGGGGGAGGGGGTCCGGCCGCCTGTTCAGTGGTGTGGAATGTGGGAATTGTCTTTTTTGTACTTGGGGCTGGTGGCCTGTACAAAGAATCTTGAGATATCTTGATCTTTTATAAAAGGTGTAATGTGAAGCCCTGCTTTGTGAGTGAGAAGTCAGTAAGAGAGTCCAGGGAAGGGGATTGTCTCCCTTTTTATAGAAGTTGAGAAAGACGGGGGGGCACTCAGTCGGGGCGGGCTTGGAACAAGTGAATCGTCGCATATCAAGACGTTCATGACGATTCAGAGCTTGGACGAAGTGAATCGTCGCATACTAAGACGTCCCTGGCGATTCAGAGACGAAGCCAGGAAGTATCGATCACCACGATCAACTGTGTTTGGCCCAGACGACGGTTCGTGGCTGTGGATGGGTAAAGGACAGACGAGGAGAAGAAAGGGACCTACCTGATCCTGGATGAAAGTCGGGAATACAACAATCAGACCTACTGACTACGGCGTAACTTGAGGCGGAATCAATATTTTTTTGCCAGGTTGTCGAACTTGAAGCAGCAAAATGTTTGTTGGAAGAGGTATTGCGAAGTTTGAAATTCGCGCTGATGACGGTCTCAGAGAGGAAAGTCACAATTCGAAAAAAAAAAAAAAAACCACATCTGCTGCCTATTTTTCTCTCGTTTTCGGGTCGCAGCCTGCAGCACTGCCCATCACGTGGCGGGTTAGATACCGTCGCGAAGCGGCACACGAAAATATGGGATGAAGATGGGCGGCGAGAGGACACAAAACAACAACTTTTGATCCCTATACGACAGATAGTAGCAATGGCTATTTGTGAGGTAGGTACGAGTCTGCTTTTGGGAGCGCTCTGGAAGACACTTGATAGTACTTAGTAGTGCTCACGATTTTATCCTAAGTTGGAGTCTATATAATTTCTGAGTTGTGGGAGCAGTTATATTGTGGCTATTCTTGTCTCCCGGATCCCGTGAGAGAGCTGTATCCTCAGTGCATACAACTCCTCCTAGCTTCCAAGATCCATAGCCCTAGCATGACCAGCATTTCTACAAATACCTTTGACTATCTTACTCAGGAGCCGGCGCTTGAAAGACTCCCAAGCATCACTAAAGCGCGCTGCCAGAACGCCTGCCGGATCAACAGGGTCGGAACAGACCACCTATGAATATGGCGCCGTCTTCCACGCCTAGTTGGTTCTCAAGATCGAGTAATGGCGTCCTTAGTGCAACTCTCGCGCCCAAGTGCAGTGGGATCATCGTTTCTAAGAAAGCCGTCAACTAATTCAGCCGACTATTGCCAGAAGTAAGTCCTGGTCAGTGGTAAGCCAACCGACTTTCTCAGTGACTGTTTTCCTTTCAGCCCAACAACCAACTATGACTTTGTGATCCAATCAACCAACAAAATATGGGTCCAAAGGTAGGCTGGTTTCTATCAGGAAAGCGCTCGCCGCTGGATGGAAATGGTGCACTTTGGTGCGCCGTCGAGATCAACATTGAAATCACATTGTGTGTTTCTCATCAAATATGTCAAAACAAAGAACGTTAACAAAACTTGGAGTGGAAAAACCTGAAAGGGCAAATCCTACAGTGTTCTTGGGTGGCCGTCTCGAATCTGCCGGAAAACCGTTGTTGTGACGTTGGTCAGGTCAAAATAGAGAGACCCAACAATAAGGCACATCGATAGGCGGCACAGAAACGTGGCTTGCGCTGTGGTTTCCTATTCGCTATTTTCTGAGCTTATCATCTCAATACTATCAATATCCTATAAAATCCATGCTGCCTTTACAAAATTAATTCCTGTACCTGGTACCCCTCACCGATCAACTATAAACCCAACGGTCGAGCCGCCCACCCTCATTTTCTTACAAAGCCTCAGATTCTACCGGCTCTCGTGAGCGATCTACAGCTCTGACCGTCTACATAGTACCCCATAACAACGTTACTGCAATGTCTTGCGACGATCAAGCTATCGATGAAACAGAGAGGCTCGTACAGACTCTCCCGGTGCACCCCGATACAGAGCCTCCGAAAGATGGCAAGACGAGCCCAGGGTCCATGATACCACCCGTAACATCTGCTGATGCTCGAGCTGCATACCGAAAGGTAACGGTTGAATGCAATAAACGTGAAGCACTGTGTGGACATGGATGGAAGAAGGCTAACGCACATCGATGACCATAGGCCAAGGATTGGGTTTCTGAAAATCCTGGCCAAGCGGCGTGCTACACGGTCGGCGCCGCCAGCCTTGCCATCGCGGCCTCACCGGCCTTGGTTTCTGCCCCTATGTTGACCGCGATGGGATTTGGAGCCAAGGGCGTTGTTGCCAGTAAGTATTTAGCATGAGACGACCGGAATCGCCTGTTGATATCAGAAATCCGACAGAAGCTGACCTGTACCAACAACAGACTCAGCTGCGGCTGCAGCTCAAGCAAGCATCGGCAACGTCGTGGCACCGAGTCTCTTCTCCACATTTACGAGCGCCGGGATGGCTGGGTACGGGGCCGCAATAGTGAACGGTGCAGTGCAGGCCGGCGCCGGTGCTACGGCTGCTGGGTCCGGGGCATATATCGCGACGAAACAATGGTTTGCAGGGAAGGAGAAGAAGACCAACTCAGAAGCGGGTGATGGCGCGCCGGAAGACAACGACGAATCTGACAGCGGCCTATGAGGACTAGGACTGCTGACAGCGAGGCAACAACGAAAGTGGACATGTGAATATTAAGCAGACCCTTTGTAAGGTGACGATGCAGTTTGTGCAAATGCAGATCAGGAAAGTGTTGTTGTGTCTGTCATCCCAGCTGGACTTGACGTTCTGAGGCTGTGCACTTGATGTTTCGTGAGAAGGGAATGTTCGAGATCTCGTATGCTGTCCCCATCTTCGGTCTCTTGACTGGTCTTGGTACGAGGACGATGGTGACGTTTTTATCGCAGGAGACTAACACAAGAAATAGTAAAACTCGTTGAACCACTAAAACCGACACGACAACAATATAGCAGCCATAACGTGCCTAGACTTAGAAGTTTATTTGACTTTACGGGCTTTGATTGAACTAGGCCAGAGTTTGGCTGTCAAGGGAATGTACCTATGGCGATGTGAGTAATAGGTTCAGTAATTAAAGCCGAACTTCCTGCCATGCATCTCACATCCTCAAAGCTTCTCAGAGTCTTGACTGGCCTGGAAGCAATGCTGACTCGCTTTCAAGGGCGCTACTCCAACCGAGACTTAAGAGTCATTGGTTAATGACTCTAGCCCGCTCGCTGGTCTGCGTGGTCTTGGCACTGAGCCTGGCTCCTATTTGGGTTCAAATACGGATTTGGGAGGTTTCTGGAACTCTCACTGTAGAGCCCCCTTGGGCTACAGTGTGTACCACGGAGGATGATCTGTCGAGTTGTAATAGATTGCGGATAGAGTCCCTTGCTGCAAGATGCAGAGCCCGGCCAGTGTACGTAATGGCAACGGGGTGGAATAGGCAAGAAGCTCCGCGAAACTTATGTGCACGATAGGGTGCTCCCAAATTCATTTCCAGTGCACAATGGCCGCAAAGGAGGCAAGAGGACTGACAGCACTCTGGACGACGATCTTCATTATATGAATGTGGTCAATTTGTTTTACGCAACAGGAGGTTTAGCCAACTAGTTCCGAATTTTAGATTCATCAGGGAAACTACCTAGCTGCAGTTAAAGTTGGAGGGATGCAGGCGACGAGCCCGAGGACAATGTTCGAGTTAATTATCCGGCCGATCTTTGCTAACCCTGTGACAGCCAACAAGCCCACCCTCTTCACTGTCCCCCCCGAATACAATACTGCACGCGACGGCATCCCTGGGAAGCTAATGACTAGAAGCTTGTGGACCGATGTGTAGCGTAAGAGCTAGGGAAGACCCGGGTATCTAGAGAGGGCTGAATCATACTTTGCGATTGTCTTCCAGATGCAGGCAGCGGCGTTTTACGTTGGCCGGGATGCGGGTGCGGCCTGCAGACTCTTTGGACTGGAAGTCACCGCCATTGTGGTGAAAAAAAAATCAGCAGAAAGGCGTGTCAGTCCGAACTTGGTGGAACCCTGTTGCTGCCACCCCTCCCCAGAACGAGGTGGGAAAACGCGCTACTTTGCCGCCGCAACCAAAGCATTTGGCGACGGATGCGCCGGTTGGGTTAAGGTTCTGTGTTCGGTCGATCCTCGCATTTGTAGGTTTGAAGCGGCAGCCGATTTATGTCGACCGACCGAACGGCCAGAGTTACGCTAGAAACTACGGGGTGCCTCGGCGGGTTCTCCGGGGGTCACCTCCGGGACGGGGGCTCCTCCGTTTCCCGATGGCCGAGCTGGCAAATGCCGACTCTGGCTTCCTTGATTCAGGTCGCATTGGCCCAACCCACGCGAGTGGTGGTGGCATGGGGCCAACCGCTGTGTAGTATTTTTAGAGGCTGTGCAACGACGCGCGTGAGACATTTCCGGCGTTCCACGATTCCATTATGGGGCCCTCCCTCGTGTACAGGTACGTAGTAAGTTGAGCAAAAGATGGGCCCTCTCTAACTCAGGGGTTTCTCGACGGTTGTCATGATTAGATGACATAATTGAGCAAGGGTGTCCGGGATCGTCGCTCTGCCCAACAAGTCATATTTAGGAACTCCCGAAGTGCGCTTCTCCCTTTTCGTCCACCTGCTCCCCGCCCCCCAATCGTGCTACTATACCAATACTGCTGCTGCTGTATCTTACGCCGGTTATTCTTATACGTGCAAGCTTGTCCGGCCCAGTGAGCCTCACTTGACAGATGACGGCCATCGCACCGCCAGCGTATCTTCACCTGCCCATCCACCCACTCTAGACCCGATTTCTTCCACCCGCATGTTTTCTCGCAACGGCCGAGCAAGCCAGAAAGGCACAATGTGGGAAGAATCCACCCGGGGACGGGAGGGGCTGTCGGACGAGTCCCCCCGGTCCAAGGAGCAAGACCGGTACGGCGAAGGCGGCGGCGATGACAGGACGTCGGCCGCGGCCGCGGCGAGGAGGAGCGCGGACAAGATCAGATGCCTCGACGGCCTCCGCGGAGTTGCTTGCCTTCTCGTCTTCAACTACCACTTCCTGTGGCCGTGGACGCCTGCCATTATGCTTGGCTACGGGGCCATGCCCCCCGGGTCCCCCGAGCCCTACTTCGAGCGGTCATCCTTGCCCATCCTGTGTCTTCTGCAGCGCGGACGCCCAATGGTGGCCATCTTCTTTGCTATTTCGGGCTATGTCCTTTGCCGCCACATTCTGAGGGCCATCCACGAGCGACGGCTCGAGGCCGCGTACCAGGGTCTCGCGTCGTCCGTCTTCCGACGCGTGTTCCGCCTGTACATCCCCCCCACCATCAGCATGTTCCTGGTAGCCGTGCTCGCCCAGATGGGCGCCTTCCGCTCCGAGGATGACATCTACAAGGGCCCCGACTCGAGATACATCAACGGCACTGTGACGGTGGCTCATCTCAACAGCACCTGTGCCAATGGGACGCACGCAGTCGAGGGAGCTCCTGGCATCGCGAGGTACTTGGGGCTGACGACCCCGGTGTTTTTGGGCAATGTCACAAACAACGAGACCAGCACGCTCTGTGTGAACGCCACGTCCCAGCTCTTCATGCCCCCGATGTTGTATCGGCTGGCCGACGACATCGCGGCAAAGGCCAAGGCGGCGAACGAAGCCAAAGGACTGAACGGGACCGTGATCAACATCACCATGACGGACGCGCCCACGACCTCCTACCACGACCTCCTCCACCTGAGCGCCAAGCCCGTGACCCTAGACGCTAGTAAAACCCCGCCCAACGTCACTGGCCCGCCGCAGTTCTCTTGGGTCCAGCTCGGCGGCTCGTGGGAAGAGCACCCATTCATCCACGACAACATCACCTATGCCCTCTCAAACTTCACGAGGGCTTACGTCGAGTGGGCCAACCCCTTCAACTTCGGCCACTACCACACCCGCTACGACCCCCACACCTTCACGATCCCGATGGAGCTTCGCGGCTCCATGTTCATCTATCTCTTCCTCATGGGCACCGCGGCCCTGAAGGCCAAGTGGCGCTTCCGCCTCGGAAGCCTTCTCTCCGCGTACAGCCTGGTCCTTGGACGCTGGGACATGGCCATCTTCATGGGCGGCCTGCTGCTCTCCGAGGCGGACATCAGGCGGGCCGACGACCGGGGACTAGCGCCGCCGGCGACGAGCAGCAGGAACGGCCGCCAAGCCGGCCCCGGACAACCGGCGCCGAGCTCCAGCGGCGCCCGCTGGGCCGTCCTCTTCGTCGCCCTCTACCTCCTCTCGTACCCCGACGCCGGCGCCGAGTGGACGCCGGGTTTCGCGTTCCTGTCGTCCCTCGTGCCGAGATACTACATCCCGCTGTCGGGCTGGATGTTCTACCAGGCGATGGGGGCCCTCCTGCTGCTCCCTTGCGTCCTGCACAGCCCCCTCCTCCGCCGCCTCCTCGAGGCGCGTGTCGCGCAGTACCTCGGCAAAATCAGCTTCTCCTTCTACCTCGTCCACGGCCCGGTGCTGCACAGCCTGGGCTTCTGGATCATGCCGAGGCTCTTCGAGCGGCTCGGCCGGAACGCGGGGCTCGTGGTCGGCTGGGTCATCCTGCTGGGCGTTTCGTTGTATCTGTCGGACTGGTGGTGCAGGAAGATCGATGTCTGGAGTGCGACTGTCGGGAGGAAGGTAGAGAAAATGATGAAGGACTGAGCTAATATATATATATAGCCAGGCTGCTTGATGACTGTTTTTAAATTAGAGTTTGTTCAAGGGAAATGAAAATGACCAAGTAAAGTAAAGACATGCGGGTGAAAGACCCTTGTGATATTTATATACATATATACATATATACAGGTTGGGTTTCGTATGTTTCAAGCCGGCATAGGTGCGTTACCAGCAGCTTGTCCTCAGGGTCAGCCAGGAAACCAGGAACAACCAGTCGCTGTCATGAGGATTCGCCAGTGGTGGCCGGTGCTAAGTGTTCGTTGTTATTCTCACGTGGGAACCTAGTTCTGACGACGCTGAACTACCAACTTCTTCCACGGGCTTGTGCGCTTGGAACGCCGCGCAGGCTGCTTCCAGATGGGCCGGTCAGGGTCATAGCCGACCAGGCAGTTGACGGTCTCGGCGCCCTCGCCGGCATCGTTGATCTCGCCGCCGACGGGGTTGCGCCATTGGCCGGTCAGCTTGATGTGCCCGTCGAGCGCGTCCGCCATGGTCTTGCCGAGCTCGAGCGCCTTGGCGGCCCTGCCGTGGGCGTAGTGCGTGAGCAGAGAGTGCGCGGCCTCGCGCTCGCCGTTCTCGATGAGGAGGCCGGCGCCCGCCTCGACCCAGCCGACGTCGCTGCGGCTCTGGTTCTCGAAGCCCGTGAGCATCTGCGTGACGATGGGCAGGTAGGCGTCGGGGGCCGAGCACATGTAGTAGAGCACGCGCTTGAAGACGCGGCCGGCGAAAACGCTGGCCTCCTGGAGCTGGTAGTCGGGGTTCAGGAAGCTGCCGGACGCGCCGGTGGTGAGGTACCGGTGCTCGCCGAACTCGGGAGGCACCTCGTCGACGCCGAGCCACCACGGCACGAACGGCGAGGAGACGGAGGTGGCCGGGGCGTTCCAGATGCGCAGGAGATCGCCGTCGATCCCCGCCTTGAGGCTCACGACCTGCCCGTAGCCGGCCTCGTCGTCGGCGATGCGCCTGTCGCGGACGCGCTCCATGAGCTTCTCCTCCGTGAGGGGGGCCATCCTGAGCGTGGCCTCCTCCAGGGCGGCCTGGGACATGAACTTGAAGCCGCCGTCACGCGCCGTGACGTTCTCGCCCTTCATGCCGTAGGCATTGAAAATGTTGAACGGCTCGCCGCTGTCGGGGTTCCACCAGCCCTGCTCGACCGCAAAGGAGACGATGTTCTCGGAGCCCATGTAGTCCGAGCGGCCGGCAAAGTCGGTGGGGAAATCCTCGATGTAGCCGGGGTACAGCACGCGGACCTCGTCGGCCTTGAGGCGCTCGGCCGCCCACAGCCCCTTGCCGCCGGCCATCTCCCACACCACCCAGCCCTCGTCCTTGTCGGCGACCAGGTGGGTGTTGCCGCCGTAGGTCGCCTCGCCGTACCGGTTCACCAGGTCGCCAATGATCTCCACGCCCTCCCGCGCGGTCCTCGCGCGCTCCATGACGATGCGCGCGAGGTCGCTGTACTGGATGCCGTGCTGGGGCGTGGGCGTCATCTCGACCAGCTCCTCGCGGTTCTGCGCCCAGACGTCGCGGACGGCGACCCCGTTCTCGTTGAGGCCGCCGTTGGTGAGGGGCGCCGGGAAGCCCTCAAAGTCCGAGTACTCCATCGACAGGTACCGGTAGGTGTGCGCGACCTGGGGGATGGTGAAGAGCTCGCCGGGTATGCTCGCCTGGTCGGTGATGCCGACGGTGATGGTGGCGTTCGGAGCGTGGTCGCGGGCGGGGAACAACTGCAGCCAGTGGGAGGAAACCTCCTCGCCGGTGCCGCCGACCATGACGCTGCCGTCGGCGGTGAGGTCCTTGCCGACATAGAAGGCATAGCTGGCGGAGGCCGGTCCGGCGAGGGCGGCCAGGACGACAGCGGAGCTTTCCAACATCATCTTAGCCCGTGTTTTGAACGGAAGATGGATGGCTCCGACAGAGTTGGCTGGAGGCCTGTGAAGAAATTGGAGCAGGAGTGGAAAAGGTCTCTTCAAGCTGGACCCTTTTTGCCCTTCCTCTCTATATTTCCATGTAGACTCTTCATTAGCATCGGTGCCAAAGGAATGCTGCCCCTTCAATATTGACTTTGGCTTGCAGTACCCCACACCGAAGTCTCCGATATCGCTAGCGGTGTAGATAACGGGTGCCAAGGACCGCAACACTGGGTAAGTGGTTAACGTTGCTAATCGGCCTCTATATGCATGGGTGACAATTATCTTATTTCTCTTCAAATGTCCCTGGGGGAGTTGGTTAAACTGTAATCAACTCCCGCAGTCATTGCTTGACTCGGCAACACAATCGACTAAAGTCACCTAATTGGACCTGAGACCGCAAGTCATTTCCCGATACTTGAGGCTTTTAACTCCGTACGCCAGTCAGCGTTCAAACCCCTGTGTATTTTTGAACTGATGAGCTTAACGCCCGCAGAAAGGGTAAGATGTAAAACAAAGGGAAGCATGACAACACATCCGAGATGAGTCCAAGAAAAATATCGTGTGATATGTTTTCTATACATGTATTGAGGCCTGGTGGCCGGGTATCATTAACTCTTCCAGAGCCCCGTCTGGCTCTTCTAGTGTGCTTCACTGCCTCTTGCGGCCTCGCGCTCCAAAGCCCACTTGGAACTGTCCACAGCCAACAACGGTGATGCGCTGAGGGCTTCGTTGCACCAGCGGCCGTAAATCTTTCCTGCTTTTCGAGGTGGAGGGAGGTTGGCGCAACGATTCTTAAAATGCAATGCTGTTCGCACCGATCCCTTCCAAGCATCACTTCAGTCGCACAATAGCCTCAAGACCGCTCAACTTCCTCACGCGGCTCTCGTCCTCGAACCCCTCGTCCTCGCCCTCGACGACGACGTCGTCCACCACTCGCAAGGTCTTGGTCCGCACCTCGACCACGCAGTCGCTCTGATCCGTGAACCACGCCACGACGGCCAGGACCTTCTCGACGGCCCTGCCCGCGCCGAGAACCACCGCCTCGCCGTCGCCCCCCCTGGTCCCGTTATCGCGGTGCAGCAGGTCGATTCGCTGGCTCAGGTTCAGGCCCCGCGTCGACGGCGCGTTGTGCTTGAGGGACTTGTCGAGCTGCGCGCGGACGCGCGACACGACCGACATGAAGGAGCATTTCGCACCGACGCAGATGTACTTTGACTTTGGCGAGACGGGCTGTTGTGGGCGGGCGAGCGCTCGTTTCCGTATCTTGGTGCCTAGGGGGCGCGTGTTAGGTGGAACTCTGGGTTCGACCAACAAAGGCCGGGGGATAGCAGATTTGGCTTGCCTGTGGGTAGTCGTGACAACTTTTCCACTTTTGACTGCTGTCCCTTCTGCCTTGAGCCGTCCTTGCCAGCCTGGCCTTGTGTCGGTGACCGGGAGGGCGCCATGATAGGCAGCCGTTTGCAAGTCTGAGGGGGTGTAATGAGATGAGCCCCGATGACCCAAGCCGATCTAACAGCTTGGATTAGATCCGAAACGACGTTCCTTGAATTTAGGATGATTTGGGTTCGTGGGAAAACGTGTCCAGTTATTCGGAAGGTTTGTAAGCGTGGCCTTCGGAGCTTGGATGAGACGGTCCAAAATCAACCATGATCCCGTCTCCCCAGATGAGAAAAAGTGTAGATGCATTAAGTGGAGACACTGTCCGCTGTGGTCACCACTCTACCGGTATGTACCTATATAATTATGGGGCACATGCTAGCTTGACGCCCCCCACACTGTACAAGGTACCGACCACCACCCCTGGTCCTCGAAGTCTCCCGCGATGACGAGATGCACGACCCGAGCTTCAAACTATCGTCCGTCATGAGTTGATCATTCCACCACTGAACGCCCTGTTGCGGCTGCCTGCAACACCAAACACCACCACCGCGACAACCCCCTCGACAAGCTCCGGGCGCTGAGGAGAAGAAAAAGACAACATGTCAATAGCAATCTGGCCTCGCCTGTCCCCAGAGGACCTGCTTCAAAAGAAGCAGGAATCGCTCGTACGTATCCCCATTCCAGCTCTCTCTCTCTCCCTCTCACCACCCAGCTCCCCGACGCAGAGCAGGTTGCCTTCTAAAGTGAGACGAAATGCTAATCAGAATCGGACTGCCCCCGCAGAGACGCGAGCTTGAATGGATCGTCACGGAGACCCACGCCGTCCTCAAGGACGTCCGCTACGGCCTGCAAGAATGCTACGCCCTCCTGGCCCCCATCGACCCGGGCAGCACCCTCGTCATGAGCACGCAGCGTAACGAGCGCGTAAAGGGGACGGTGACGCGGGTCGGAACGCGGATAGTCAAAGGGGTTCGGCTCTCCCCTCCCCCCGCTCTGCACCGCCGGCTCAACCCTTAGCTGACATATATCCATAGACAATCCACCTCCAGCTCCGAACCCTCCCGACGCAGACGCTTACCCTCGACCCCTCGCACCCAATTCACATCGCCGCGCTAGAGACTATTCACACCCATCTCACCGAGTGCCTCGACCTCCTCTCCCTCACAGACACCCCGTCCCCCTCCACGAACCCCACGCAGCTCGCCGCCCAGCTCCGCATCATCGCCGCCTCCCTCGCCGAGTCCTCCTCCCTCCTCAAGGGCCCGCCCCCCAACCAGTCCGACCCCCGCTGGCAGACCGACTCGTGCCCGCCCGTCCATTTCGCCCCGCTCCTGGGCCCCAGCATCAGCTTCCACCTTGGCCTGCAGGAATCGAGCTTGGTCCTCTGGCTGCGCGCCCTCGAACCCGTTGATACGCCGGTGCACTTTGGTACCAAGCTCGGTCTGGCGCTGGGCACCGTCCGCCGACTCGAGCACGACGAGATGGATCGCCCGTTCCGCTTCACGTATAGCACCGTGACGGACGGTGGGCTGAAGCACAAGCACGGCACCGGGCACCCGCGGAGCAGCGAGAACACCCCCAGCGGGCTGGGTACCCCGTCCAGCAACGGCGAGGCCAACGAGGTTTACGTGCGGGAAAAGGTCCGCGTCGAAAGCTTGCCGGACCCCAACCTGATGTCGCTATCCGCGAAGCTGGTTGCTTTGGGCCATACACTGGCCAGTGCAAGGAGGAACCTGGCAGCGGTCATGGGCGAGGAGTTTGACGAATGAGGCAAGAGTCCTTCGTGGTCTGTAGTTGACATTGGATACCCCCCCGGGAGTTTGGCAGGGAAATAGAATCATTGCGCCTTGGCCAAGGCTATTGTTTTTTCAAATTCCTATGTCCTGGTTCTTTGACCAGAGATCTGTCTGTACACATACAAGTTGCCAGAGTGTAACCCTATAGAGGCGAACGGAAAAAAAAAAGAAAAAAAAAAAAAGAGAAGGCGTCTGTCTGTCTTCTGGACCTTTCAATCCCAATCCATGAGCTCGATCCTCCGCGTGCCTTGGCAAGCAGGCATAAACTGGACTGGTAAAGCTTCCGCGTCGTTTTGTAATAAGGTAGCAGACCACATCAGCGTCGATATGGCGAAGACGGCCCAGGTTGACAGATGGAGGTATGTGATGCTGCACACGCCAATGAGGTAGTTGATCAGACCCGAGCAGCCAATACAGCTCCCGCCTCATGCCACCGGAGACCAGGGCATGGGGATCAGGATCCTGGACTTCATGGTCTGAATCAGCGGAACAGTCTTGTGAACCGTCTCGCTCCAGCCCTCAACACTCCAGCTCTTCTCGCGGCGGATCTTGCGCTCCTCGAGGTTGGCGAACTGCCAAAGGTGATGGACGGTGTTGAGATCTCCTATCTGCACGAACCAGGCACCGACGCCCTCCATGACCTCGCGTCTCGCCTTGAGGCCCCGTCTCCAGTGGGTCTCCCACTCGAGGAGGTTGCCGGGGTGTAGAGTGTATGATCGCAGCTCGAAAACGCCGCCAAGCTGCCGGGGTGGCGTGGTGGGCCAGAAGGAGAACTCCTGCATGAGGGACGTCTTCTTTGAGGTGATGAGGCTCTTGAGCTTCTTGTCGAAGTCGGCGAATTCGGGGTGCGAGCCAATGTTGTGGATGGACTCGTGATAACCCTGGTAGCGCTGATACTCCCAGATGTGGACTGCCGGCCTAATATTAGCAACTGGTTCCGCTTCCGCATTGGGGGGGTCGCGAGCCAACATACCAAAAGTGTCACAATCTCCAACCTCGGTCCTCCAGCTTCCAACCAGATTCACCTTGTTCTCGGGCATGGACGCCATGCGCGGGTACCAGCTGCCAACGAGCTTGGTATACTCGTCGACCTTTTCGGGCTTGACCTCGTGGAAGACGATCGAGTGGACGTACTTGCCTCGGGCGAGGACTTGGCTGAAGCTGGCCTCGAGCTGGGCGTCGAGCTCGCGACCCTCCTTGGTGCCGTAGATGAGGTTGGTCAGGGGACCGGCCTTGCGCGGAGGCTCTTGAGAGGCTTCGGCCTTCTGTCCTGAAGTAGCACTCGCAGATGAGCCCAAGTCCTGGGCGGATCCAGAAGCGGAAGGGAAGGGGGAGGGGGAGGATGATCGACTGTACGCACTTGCTTCCCGCTGCTTCTGTTGCTCAACCAACTGCTCTCGGAACTGCTTGGACTTCTCGTTGAAAGACGCGACGCTCTGAGGCGCGGGGATTACGTCGGCCATGGAGGGCACCTTGAGCTGTTGGCTCGTCGAACTGAATGCTCGCAGCGCGGATCGCGGGGTTGCCGCGCCGGCCGCTCGCACCAATCGCTGGCTCAACATCTTTTCGGTGAGGAGGTGTATGGGGCAAACGGGGTGTTGGTTTCTTATGGGTGGAAGGGTAAATGGAAGTGGTGACCAAGAGGTGTCTCTTTTACTAGACGAGGTACGTTGTCGACTTGAACAGACGGTGACAAACGTGCTCTTTGTTTTGCAAGAACAAGCCTCTGGTACGGGGATGCGAAGGAGGAAGTAGGTAGAGCGGATTCAACACGTCTTGATCGACAAGAAGCAGGAAGCACCCGAGAGCAGGGGGGGCTATTACAGAACAGGGAGCAAATCGGCTGTGCACAAGGAGTCGGCGGCGGCGGCAGACGGCTCGTACACACGGTCTGGTCTCGTCGGGGAATGGTAGCAGTCAGGTGGTATCCCGTCTGGTAGGTAGGTAAGGCAGCGGCAAAGGTGTCAAGGTTGTGGTGGTCTCGCCCGTGCTCGCAGTGGGAGACTAGTTAATGGGATGGTTGTAATTGGATGAAGGCGAGAAGGAGGTCGGGCAACAACCGTGCAAACGTGGTGCGTGTCTCTGATTCTCTGCAGATTCCCCGCACTTTACAGTAGTATGAGTAGGTATGATGGTGAGGAGGAGGAGAGAGAGAGAAGTGAGGGAGCTTCAGGAGGTGCAGGAGGTGTGTGTGGCAGGGACAAGATGGATGTGACACTAGGGAGGAGATGTTTGGCTTGCTGCACTACAGGTTCGGGGTCTGGCACCACCACCACGCCAATCCCAATCCAAGGTTCCCAAGTTAACTTAGCCCGTCTCGTGCCCCCTTCCCCTCCCCCCAAACCTGGGGAGAGCTGAAGCCGAGGGCCCAGTGGCCCTCCCAGACGGCGGAACTGGGGGATGGAGCTGGAGCTTGGTGCCGGTGAGAGATGTGGGTACGTAGCGCCTCCAAATGCGCCCAGATGCGGAGAAGAGTCGAATGATGTCACATAAGCGGCCGGGGTACATGAGAGCGACGGAGAAACATTCCTGCGTGGTTCCGTTTCAGTTCCGCAACCTGGTGACACTTGGCCCGTGCGCTTTCCCGACCACAAACGGACGAGGAGGCCCTGCTTCACAAACTTGGCCTGAGGCTGCCACAGTCGGCTACGGGTCCAACCGCCGAAAGCTCAATCGGAGGAAAAAGGCTCGTTCTGATAGCTTCACATTGAACCTCCGAATACCGCCCGCCAATCCAGACTCCCCAACTTCTTCCACCCCCTACAACCCACATCACAACCGTCAAGATGACTTGGCTCGGAGCTCGCGCACTCAAGAAGTACCCCACGCCCGTCCGTACGTATCGCGCGCCTCTCGTTCTCCCGTGTGTGTGTGTGTGTGTGTCCGCCGTGCAATTGCTGACCTCCCTTGCAGTTAAGCCGATGGCGCCTTTCTTCGCTGCCGGTATGTCCGAGTCCCCCAATTGAGCCCAAGTAACACGAGCGAAACGACTTCGCAATCACGAGATTTAAAAAAAAAACTACGAGCAGGATCGACGGAGGGCCGCAACAGGGGCTGATATGTTTTGCAGGTCTGGTCATCGCCTACGGCATCAACTCGGCTCAGAACGCCATGATGAAGTGTACGTCGCACCAGCCGACCCTACCAGGTTATCCCAGGCTAACACGAAGACGCAGCCGACGAGTGGAAGAACGACGCCCGCAACCCCCTTGCCAAGAAGGCTCACTAAGTTCGCGATGGAACAGTCCGGGGCTATGCATAGACAAGACCGAGCATTTGGGGAACGTGTCGAGGATGAGAAGACCCGCCAACACGTATATCTTCATGGACGCTGTACCATAGACACACGGCTCGCCGTCAATTGAGCTGTTGTACTAATTTGCTTATCCTATATCTGTCGAGATGGTGCCTGGAGACCGAGGGGTCATATCTCGCGGATAACTTCTACAGCATCGGAGACGGTGAAATGCTCACTAGAGCTTTGTGAAGCGACTCTCATGTGCGTATAGTGAAACCAATGAATTCCGCTTGAAATGCTACGAAAAGAGTCACGAATGGCTTCGATTGGCAATGTATACGGTGACGTCGCGGTTGCTTGAAGACCCAAATGATCGAGGGGCTCGGACGTACGTGAGTCTCGATCACGTGACACCAATAGTCTCAACAACCTTCACCCAAAAACTGTTCAAGAGTCGGACAAGCCCAGAGGATGTCAAATCTTTGCATGCTCCGAATACGTGGTTTTGGAAGTATGATGTGGTCTGGTCATTCAGTCCGGCGGTTTCCTTATCGCCGTTTCCCATCCACCTTGGTTTCGGCGAAGAGTCAGTGTGGATTATGACGAATCCACACCTCTCTCCCGTCGCACTCCCGGCCTCGCTTTGCGCCCTTCCAATAACACCATAGATACAGACCACACATGAGACCCGTGCTTCACTTCCGAGTCAACTCCTTGTTTCTCGGTCCTAGACCTTGCCACTCGGTACCAGCGGGATCCAAACTTCGATACCAGTTTGCTCACATCCTTCACTGCAAAATGTCAACGACCAACGGGTCAACGCCTAGCGGCGCGGCAGCGAAGAAGTCCAACGGAAGGCGGGAGATCAAGATTCTCATGCTCCACGGTAAGACATGTGTTCCATCACTTGCATCGTCTAGCCTGAGTGACGGGGGGAGGGGGGGGGGCTCAGCGTGAACACCTACCCCACTCACGCAGACGACTGATTTGGAAACACATCTCACTAACACTCTCAAGGATACACACAATCGGGCCCCCTTTTCCGCTCCAAGACCCGCGCCCTTGAGAAACTCATCACCAAGTCCTTGGGCCCCTTCAACCTCGTCCCCTCCCTCCTCTACCCCACGGGCCCGACCAAGCTCTCCCCGCGCGACGTCCCCGGCTTCGTCCCGGATGAGGAGGGCGGCGAAGAGGACCAGGACATCGACTCCTGGGCATGGTGGCGCAAGGACGAAGCCTCAGGCACTTACCGCTTCCTTGCCGAGGGCATCACCGCTGTCGCCGATGCCGTGCGCGAGGCCGGCGACGATGGCGTCGACGGCGTGCTAGGCTTCAGCCAGGGCGGCGCCTTCGCCGCGCTGCTGACCGCCATGCTCGAGACGCCGCACCGCCCCGACGACAAGATCCCCGAGGTCCTGCGGGCGCCCGTGCAGGCTCTCAGGGAGGCCAACGGCGGGCGGCCGCTCAAGTTCGCCGCCATCTACTCGGGCTTCTACGCGCCGCCCGAGGAGCTGCAATGGGCCTACGACCCCAAGATCAAGACGCCTACGCTGCACTTCCTCGGCAGCCTCGACACCGTGGTGGAGGAGTCGCGGAGCCAGGGGTTGGTGGATCGCTGTGAGGACCCCATGGTCGTCGTGCATCCTGGGGGCCACTATGTGCCCATCTCCAAGGAGTGGGCTATGCCACTGATTGGCTTCATTAAAAAGATTGCCGACGAGGAATCGGCCAAGAGCAACATGTAGAAGTAGAAACGGGCACGGCGGTTACGAGTAGACGATTTGACGTGTTGGCATAGAAAGGGATCTTATAAAGCATAGTCGATCAAAGAACAGACCGAAGCACGATTTTACAACATCCCAGCCCGGTTCATTGCCTGCTTCTAGGGTAGTTGTTCTACAATTACACGCCGTTCCTCAAGTGTCATGACCCCGACGACCCATCATCCGTTTAGTGCGCCTTTGTCGCCTTTCCCTTGCCGGACTTGGAGGCTCCGGGCTGGATGCTGGCCATCATCTCCTCCTTGGTGATGAGATGATCGATCCGCTCCAGGTGGCCCAACAAGCTCTTCATGTTGGCGCTCCACTCGTTCAGGATGTCATCCGCGTCTCTGGGCTTCGCGAAGCTCACAATACGCGCGGGACGGTCGATCTTGGCATAGATCGTCTTTGACGTGACCAGTTCGCTGATGTACTTCTCTGTCTCGTCCTCGGTGAGATCCAGGAGCTGGGTGAGGCGCTGGGTCTGGATGCGAGTATAGTACTTGGCGACCACCCGAACGTTGTGCTCGATGACTCTCTTGCGGAGGTCCAGCCAGCGCTGATGGGCCTTCTCGTCATCGGACTGGCCGGGCTGTGCATCAAACACATCGGTCTCACAGAGATGAGGGCCAAAAGTCTTGGCAACCTCAGGCCAGCGCATGAGCTCGTGGACGGTGAAGAGCTTGAGGAGATCAGCCTCTTGAGAGACTTGGCTGATTCTGGAATCCTTCTGGATTCTGTGGAGCAAATCGTGCTGCTCGTTGTCGTGCGGGGCAAGGATGACGAAGTAGATGATGCGTTGCAGGACCTGTCAAGCATTATGGGTCAGCGGATGAGCCTGGTCAAGACAACCTGGCACAACACTTACGGGGTGAAGCTTCTTGGGGTCTTCCTCGACCGCCTCGGTGTCGAGCACCTGGCGGTAGTGCTTGCACACGTCGAGGTACTTGTCATCGTGCTTCGCAAGGATAATCTGCTGCTCGTAGTACCGAAGCTTCAGGTCGGTTGTGTCGTCCTCCTTCTCCTCGGGAACCTCCTCGCCTCTCGCCTTCTTCTTCTCGCGCTCCTTCTTCTCCTTCTCCAGTTGCTCGGGGGTCTTCTTCGGCTTTCGTGACAGGTAGCGGGTGCTGATCTTGCGGCTTAGGATGCTGGCTTGGGTCCAGTCGCCGACCTCGATGCAAAGAGCGACTTGTGCGAGAATGAACTCGGTCTTCTCCCGGCGGTCCATGGAACCGAAAGTCTCCACCTGCAGCTCGCACAGAATGTCCGTTGCCGCCTTCAGGTCACCCTGCTTCTTCTTGATGTCGGACAGGGTCTTGGTGATGCGCGCGCGCTCGACTTCGACGAAGATCTTGCCTTCGGTGACTGTCCGCAGTGTCTCGATGACAGAAAGCTTAGTTTCGAGGTTGGGGGTAGAGTCGAGGAAGCCCATGACGGCCTGGACCATCTTCGTAATAGCTTGCTTGAGCTGGCCATGCTTCTTGGACAGAATCAAGACCTGCTCGTTCATCAAGCTCCAGTCACCAGCATTCTTGGCGATGTTCACAATGGCGATGAGTATGCGAGTTGTCGACGCAAGATCTGAGGACTGCGATCCGTTAGCATGTTGTCACGACGCACGCCTCGGACAGGCAGGAGGGGCAAGTGGCTTACCTGGCGGGTCTGCTTCTCTAGGACACTAAGCTTCTCAATGGCGGCCGATATGTCACTCTGTACTCCAATTAGGAAAAGTTTCGCGAGCTCCAAACAATGGGTGGGCCAACCTCCGCGAGCTTCTCAGCCTCTGGGATCTGCTTGTCCGTCTCCTTCGAGAAGTCCTTCTCGGGCTTCAGGGCACCGTCCGACATCTTGGGCAATTATTTCCGGGGCGTCGTCTTCTTCCAGGGAGTATTGTGCGTGCTCGGATCGTGAAGTCGTGAGGAGCGTCGGGGTTGGGACTCGGGGGGGGGGGGAGGGGATTGTGGTCGGGGAGGTGAGGCTAGGTTGAGGTTTGGTCAGAGGCTCCCACAGCTACGCAACTGCTCGTGCCTACCTCACCCTGGCCGCCTCCAATGCTCGAATACCCGGATTAGGTAAGGCGGGGCACACTCGACGGAAGGACGTACCTTTTCCCGGTCGCCGGCCCTACAGTAGCATTTGCTGGTTGGTCTACGAGCCTGCTGGCAATTAATTACTTGTCGCTAGTCACAGGCAGGTCTGTATCTTTCCATTTGTTCCGGTCGCCGTCCTCCAAAACTACATTGATTCTTTTTTCACCGTCTTCTGTCTCGGAATTTTGCCGGCGGCATCGTAACGACCTCGTAGAAGAGAAAGGAGGACAACTCTATGAAACTGATGGCAGCAAGATGGTGCACGAGCAGTCTCCCAAATCTAGCCGACAGCCAAGTCGCTGTCAGCCCAATTAGGTATTGACATGAGACTTGGAAATGCCATCAGATGGTTCGGTTCCCTAATAGTATCTGCAACCCAACGAAATACAAATACCCAAAACCTAGCGCTCTACTTCAATCAGGACAACCCGTTTTCAATCATTCAAACGACAATGGGCCTCCTTATTATTCAGTGTCCTGTATCACTAACCAGAAGTCATGACTCGCGAGCCTGATGCCTCAATGTCACGTCCAATTGACCTTAATGCCTCTTGAGCCAAATCTCCTTCATCAGAACCGTCTACCGTTCATTTCCATGGGCCTTGAAACGTTGATTTGACCAGTCGGGACGGGGTGAAAGTCAGAATGCTGCTGTAACCGTGATGCACGACAAGCGAGCGTGCTTGGCATACTGAAGCCAGCATCTCTATGGTTCTCAACCTGCCAGCTTTCGCAGCAAACTTCACGGGGACGGACTGCGTCTCATAGACATAAAAACATATGATCACATTCCAAGGTCATCAATGGCTAGTGGCCACACCAGAAAGTTCCAAGTGCCATGTATATATTGCATTGATTTCATGTACACATTATAATTATAAACAAGAAGCCATTACTTCAACGAAGATGCTCGAGGGGTTGAAGGTAGAGGGTTTGCTGTTGATGACAATAGTCGTTGGGGGCAACCTGGTTGACCTGGTCGCAGAGGTCACCGTGACCATGTGAAAACGTCGCCAAGCACTTAAGGGTTGGCGGGAAGAGGGTTGCTGCTGATGACGATAGTCGTTGGGGCGACCTGGTTGCAGAGAAGGGTACCGAGACCACCGGCATGGCAATACGTGAAGACATCACTCTGGCCCCAGTAACCAACGCTGTAAAACTCACGTTAGCGATTTCGCTCGTCGGAACGGGGTGCAGCTCGTTGACGGGGAGGAACTTACGCAGGGGCGAACTCGTGGTAGATGCGCAGAGCGTAGTCGGCCTCGGCGCCCTTTTCGATGCTGAATCTGTATTTGGCATCGCCGCAGGGGAGGACATTGGAGGGAACGCCGGTAGCGCCCTCGCAAACAAGACCCTTGGCATCGTTGCCAGTGAGGTTGAAGCTGACGTTGGTCACCGTGCCGTTCACTTCTCTGCGAACGGAAAGGTCCGAGATATCGATGTTCTCAGAAGGGGCGCTGCCATCCTGAGGAGTCGGGGCGGCGATGGCAGCGGCGCCGAAGAGAGCGACGACAGTAGCGAGAGTGAACTTCATTTTGAAGAGATTCAAGACGGGGAGAAGTAGAGAAAGTTTTGTGGCGCTTGTATTGAGTTTGTCGGTCGGGAATCGGTGTCATACGATTCAACTGGAAGAAGCGCAACGGTCTTTTATAGACAATTCCGGCCACTGTTGCCAGGTTAGAGGGTTCCGCCCAGCTAGGCGAACAAGGCTGGTGATTTCGACGTCACCAGCACTTGGGCAGAGGAGTGGAGGGTCATTCTGCGGGGAATGCCTGTCCAGTCGAGCCCAAAAAGCCACCACAGGCCCGCTGGGCCAACTGCTTGCAGTTTAGTCTCGATGGCATAGATTGTATACGGGGTTCCACATTTTGGAAGTGACCAAAAATAGAAGACGGCGAGTCGTTACCCTAATCGCTCGTCGGAACCGGGGTTCATGCTGCAAACTATGCCGTACCAAGGTATGCTTGCGCTAATCCAGACTGCAACGTCGTTGCGCCGCGCTGGCGGTTGTTGCATCGGGTTACCACCGAGAACATGGGGCGCTGTGGGTTAGTAGGGATGATCTTCTCGTATTGCTGCTAAGCTTCCAACGTTTGTTTCTTGCCGCAGCCGAGATGCAAACCACGTCGTGCACTGCGCAGCTTTTGCGAACCGCCAACGTAAAACCGCCAACGTAAACCCGCGGTTTCCCCTTGCTATGCTGGTGTTGATACGACTAGTAAGCCTCGGCTTGCAGGCCTCTGGACATGGCGGTGTTGCTTTAACTTACAGTAGACAACGTAGATCTAACGGTGCGGTCCGAGTTGTCCCCGCTTCGCTGCTGTTATTGATAACAGTTGATGACAAAGTTGCCAGAGTAGAGATTGGGCTGGCCATCAAAACCGATCCCGATGCCGATCGCCATACCATGTGGGACTGCGTATTTTCCGAGCTTTGAGCCTCCAAAAGGTTTCAAAAGCCTTCAACTGCGTCAAGAAAGTGTCCGGCAACAAGTCGACATTGAAGTAGGATTCTATAATGGCACCACCTGCCTTAGACGTCCAGCACAGGCCGTGGTTTTCTGTTGTCTCCCACTTTCAGAAATAACCGCCTACTACCGGAATAAATGAATAAATGAATAGGAAGAAATAAAATAAAATAAAACCATGAATATGGAATAAAACACATAAATGCTGAATGAGTATCTTGAGAGAGAGACCTGCTTCATTCACACCTCCTTATCATCCAGCGTCACGAGCCCTTTGTGATACATGTCTCGTACAACCGGGTACGTGGCGCAGGCGAAATTGCTCCGTCTGTGCAGAACATATGCTGGCGTTATTTCGGTGACCTCGGGAACCGGATTGAGGCTCCAATCTGGAGTGAAGCTGTGGATGAGGTATGACGCAGAAAAGTCTTGCGCCCACGGTGGCCGCTGGCTGTCGTCGTAAGAGGGTAAACGTTGTCCCGGTACGTGCCGTTCCAAGGGGGAGGTCGTGTCGTTGTGAAGGCCAAACAACTCGCGGGCGTCTTCGAATAACCAGCCCACGGGCGCGAAAGCCTCTCGGTCCATGATGAGCATCTCCCCGGCGTCCGGGACGAGACTGCGCGCGACGGCCGTGAGGGCATCGTTGCTGTGCGTGGTCCACCCGCCATTGTAGACTTCGTGCATCATATCCATCCACTTCCTAATCATTTTGCTGCCTTTCTTGGCCATGAAAGAACCGCTGTTCAGGTTGTTGTCCTTCTGTCGGCCGCTGATGGCATTGAATCCGCTTCTACGCAACACGGCGACGTCTCGCAAGGGCTGTACGTCGAAGTCTATGTACACACCGCCGTAGTCGTGGACCGCCCTGACCCTCGCGAAGTCTGAAATGTGCTCCTTGAAGCTGAACGCAACGCCGTGCCTCGTGGTAGTCGGCATCTCAACCCGGTTGACCTTCAAGCCGGGGATCGCCAGCATGCGCATGGCCCATTTGCTGACGACACCTTGTCGTGCACGAGCAATTGTGGTTTCGTGAGCGTTCGTGTGGAGATAAATGGTGTCCGGCTTCCAATAGTACCATGCAGAGTATACAGAAAGATATTGTTCGAACGTGAAAAGAAGATCGTCGCTGGTGTCGTTTTGAGCCCAGACGTAATGGACCTGGTTCGGAATGGTGTCGACTTTGCCCTTGATTCTATCTCTGACACTGTCGGAGGCAGCAATGATGTAAGGATGGGATGAAGCCTTGAAAAGCCCGGAAACTACAATAATGCTCAATGCAAGTATACTGGAGATGAGTATGAACAGGAATTTTGAGCTGCGCCGTCCCAAACTCCAATTGGAGCCACTAAACAAACTCGTGAGAGGAGATAGAAGGGGTGTGTCCAAATTCATTGTCGCCAGGACTGGGATCACATGATGTGCAAGAAGAATAATCGTAGAGATGGAATGGCATACGCACTGAACTGCGCAACCGTTAGTTAAATGCCAGTGGGATCCGGCTTTTTGAGTTTTAACCAACTAACTGCGTGAACTTCAATAGAGTACCTAGATACCCGGCCATCTCTTGGTATTTCTTCTAAAACTTTAAAGTGTGTGGGCATGATACTTTCACTGTGTATTTATAACTGTACCGAGGCAGCCCTACGGGGGACCGCCTTGTATTGGTGTTCAACGACATGCCGGTAGTTCAGATTATTGGCAAGGTTGTCGGATATTGCCGTTTGAGTTATACAAGGGCCACAATTGTTCGTGATGGAGAATCGCACATTCTTATTTTTCATGCTAGTCATGCTAGCCTGTTCAATTTGAGGTACAGAGATTTGGAATCAGTCCTCTGTATGTCTTCCGAAGATCGTGGAGAGAACTCTCGTGTTTCCAATGGAGAGCGTTGGCCTAAGAGACATCGAAGTTGCCTGGGCCATCACTCTTACATTGGTGCTGTGCGGACCACCTAGAAAGTAGGAAGCATCGTGTGTTAGGATGCATCGTGTGTTGGTGACAACATGAGAGAAGAATCATCCCAGAGTCATGGTAACACAGCCGAAACGGTATGGCTAGCGTGCTGATGAGAGGTAAATCACCGTGTTGAGTTTGATTCGACTAGTCAATCCTGTCACCGGGTCGGCTGGAGACGAAGGCGCTAAAATTATAGTTTGTTTTCTGTGTTAGGTTAAGTACCGAGTCGGTGGTTGAACCATAATTTTTGCCCATCATTTCAGATGCTGCTATGGTTCATAAACTAGGTGGCAGAAATCGCAATTGGGGAATAGTGTTGTTTTTCTAACATTGCAGCTAAAACCACACGGCACCTGGTATACGAAGCTTGACTATTATCAATGCTGACCACGAATCGTGCCATTTGATTTCGGATCAACATTATCAGCCAACCTCCAAAGCAGAGCTGAGTTTCGTTCGTCAAACACAGGGCACCGTTCACTGCGGGACGATCTCTGCGTATTGTGCCGGTGCTTTTCCTGGTACTGAGCCTCCTCGGGATGCGTGTGTGAGACCATAACAAGGTTGTAGTTGGAAAGAACTGATATATGACCTATCAGACTCAGCTAAAAGTCTGAAAAACTGTTAGTGGTGATTTGAACTTGGCTTCCCAAACATCTGCAGGAATTCTCATACTATGCCACTGGCGGGCGAGCGTGAGCCGCTGTTTGAACAGTGGTGAGTTGGGATGGCACGTTGCGTCAAGCTTGGTGTGCAGATATAGTTTAGTACAGGCTTTGTTGCGTGCTGAGGTGATGCTAAGAATTAAATATGGCGATAGTTAGTTTCGATGCATTGTTGCATTCAAGCACGTTCTCGAACTGCACGTCGTACTTTCCTCAACGCCAATCAATCTCCGCACATTACCCCTCCGACACTCAGTACGCTTTGGTGTTGGGCAAGATTTAGTTGGGATAGTCTGCTATGAAATGCCCGGCCTGATCCTGATGCCGATACGCTGTCATATTGAGCTTTTGTTAGTTTCCAGCCCTATGCTATTAGCACTTGGTCTACCTTGTTCTGTTATACAAAGTTTACAGCAAAGGCAGAAAACCGTTGCCATGGAGGCTCCAGCCGGGCAAGAAGAGCTTTTGAGGTACAGCCAAGGTGTGATGCCAGGAAGTGTATTCGTCTGTGAATCCTACAACCCTTTCTTCCAACCAAGAAGAGCTGGTCAATGGATTAAGAGACAATGCCATATGGGGGAATATAGGTAACCTCAGATACGTCTCCCACTCAATTCAGAGGCTTGTAATTGTTAAACACCTTGTAAAAGCTTAATTAGGATGATTCTTAGTAGGGGTGTCAAGTTAAGTCCCTGCAAGCACTGTTGTTGACGCGGCGTCTGCTATGAGTTCGCGTCAATCAACGGTAATACTTACACAGAAACCGATAGAGCGAGGTTGTAGTCACCTAACGGCTATATGAACCGTTTCATATTCTAGACTCAGCCCAATTTTCCAGATACACAGTACTATCTCTTTCCGATTCTAGCTCTTCCTCTTTTCTTTTTTCTTTTTTCTTTTTTCTTTTCTGACTATCTCTAAACTTGGAAGTTTTGACTCTGGACAGTATACTGCCACGACTAATAGGACAAGAATTGACTGGAATTATACAGAGCCTACTACACATTACATATTAGACAATTTCAAAAAAGCCACCACGCTAAGAGAATTATGGTTTTCCTCATCGGATCGGAGATGGAGTAAGTGGCAAGGAGAAAGTGTCTGATGTTCGATGTAGCAAACCTGCCATCGTTAACTAAGAGATATCTCAGAACTATGCAGTCTCCAAATGAGTACAATATACAGTGAGAGACCAGGATCCGCTACCGTCTCATTACTGGAATTTCCGGGTCCGAGGAATGAAAGCGGAACGAATAACCAAAATCGACCCGTCTGGCGTCGAAAGTCAAAGCCAAGGCCCTGGGATCAACATGATCTGCACTGAAACACAGGCGTATCTTCCGCATGCTTGCAAACGTCTCTTCCGTCTGAAGTAGATTCAATAGATCCTGGACATGAGGCACTATTTCCAGGGTACAGCCGTGAAGCTCGAGGAACTGGAGGCTCGGGGGAATATAGCTGACAAGTCGAGATACCTTGTTAATTTCATGGAGCCTCTCCTCCCGGGGCACCGAACTCTGCTCGCAATCCATGTTCCAGAGGTCAGTAAACCCCATGAAAGCCTCCATGCCGATATGTAGGGTCTTCATCGAGGTCATGTCCCTCAGGAACGTGCCGATGAAGAAGTTGTCCCGCTTGCAGTACCAGTCCATTTTCCTCCAGCGGTCTTGGTAGTCAATGTGCAAGTGCTGGAGAGTCTCTCGATGCGGCAGCAAGGCCTGAGCAAGGTCCGGCAGTTTGATCTGCATGTCGGAGAAGGTACTGTCGCCTGGGGTCCAATGGAATGATTTCAGCCCTCTGCAAGCCCATATGAGACTTCTCAGCCCCTCTATCGTGACGTTGGTGTCGAGCAAAGTCATATGCTGGACGTTTGAGCAGCCTGGAGGATTGGCTTCTTCGTTGAAAAGGTGTCCGTTCGGGCCACTGTTGGACAGACTAGCGCAGGCGAAGGACCGCAACTGCGGCAGTCGGAGGAATTCTTTGCCAATGTTGAAGAAGTGGAACAAGGTCTTTGGGCTTTCTGGTTCGCCAAAATATTGCCGCAAGCTGTCGAGCAGGGGGCGTTTGGTTCCGGGAGCCGCTCCAGAAGTCGAAATCATTGCACGCCTCGCCGCCGCCCTGATGAGGCGAGGCAGCAGCCGAGGCGATAGCGGGGTTCCAAGTTTGAGTGTCTCGAGCCTCGGACATGCAAGTAGCAGAAGACCAATTTGCTGCTCAACCAAGCCGTCGGCCAGACCTCGCAGCCACTCGTCCCTGACAGCGTCCCAATTCTCGATGTGGCTGGATAGACCTGACGCATCTATTAGATCCGTGTACGCGGCCATCTCATCGCTGGCCGGCCCAAGCGGCCTTTTGTTGGTGGGGGCGAGCCGGTAAATGAGGCTTGTGGAGACGTGTATGATGCTTATACGTCGCACGTTGTGCGCAAGCTCGGGGTGTGTTATGGTGATGTGCCGGAGGAAGTCAAGATTGCGACTGCGCTTCTGAGCGTGCTGGCTCATGTTCTTTGCGGTGACATTCTCGTACGTGTGGACAGACAAGGGCAACGCAATGTGGTGGAGGTGTTTGCATGTCAACAGGACCGCGCGCATCGACTGATGATGCAAGTAGGCCAACTGCTGGAGGATATGGGTTTGGACCTCAACCGGGAGCTCGAGAATTGACGCAGCCCGGTCTGCACGACTGGCAGCCTTCATTTTGAAGTTGATGCACTTGCCTGTCCTCTGGTGGGACGGAATGGCTTGTCGACCAGTTCTTGTTGGAAGTTGTTTGGAGGAGTTTGCGTGTGTCAGAACGAAAGTGGTGGTGGCTGAAAGGGGCTACTACTACCTATTAGGTACCAGCACCCAGCGCCTACCCTAGAGGCATTAGCGTTAAAGACTAACAGTCCTGATGTGAGATGTGACACAATAACCTCCACGTGGGATATGGCGTTTCCATCAGCCACAATTGGAAGCGTATATCAATCCCCTGTTCTGCTGATTTTATAATTAACTGTACAGAGTAGATATATCCCGCAATCACCCTTACAACATTTCTCGTCATTGTCTCTCACATGCCGATTCGTTATAGCTGGAGGAGTTAGGTCGAGAGAGCATAAACCCCGGACGACGATGTTACCTTGTTCAACGCTTCAGTACCGGTATTAACCTAAAACGACCTGGAGTCGTATTTAATTACTGTACAAAATGTTAATATTCTTTGACCGAGAATTCGCCCGGTGACTTGAGTGTCCCCTCTTCCACGACAGCTGTCTGATGGATAGGTGTCATCAACACAATACGGCTTCTAGCATAAATAGGTACACCCGCCTGCTGGAGATTTCCCAAAATGCCTAACCCTTAAATAGACACGATCCCTTGCCTTCGTCGAGGGATGGATCGATTCAGGGGGTCCAAAATACTAATTTGGTACCGTTCTCACGAACAGTCAAGCAACAGAATCTCTCGATATGACAATTGGGCATTGATGAGCGTATGGATCTTGTAGTTATGCGTCCACTGGCCTCAGCAGTCCTCGCATATCACAATGTTCGAATCCCCGAGAAGGATGCTCTCCCCCTCGTCAGGATTCTCACGCAGCCAAACATGCCAACCGGCTTAGTTAAAGGTAAAGAAAGAAGGGTAGTATTTCCTTTTCTAGATTCTCGAAACCTATTTCCTGCGCCTCGCAATGCTGTCTGTACCCCTCTTGATCCAGGCCATGCACCAGTAAAACCCCCGTTCCCATGACTACCTAGATAACAAGAAGATGCTCATGACAACCCGGGAAGCTCATCGAAATCGAACCCCTTGAACCCATCCTCCACAGCCCACGCCCGTCCCTTCCCCCTCTCGTACAATGCCTCGCACGCCCGACCGACGACGAGAAGCCCGGGCGGTCTGCTTCCCTCGGCCTCGATCGCCTCGGCCACGTGCTCCAACGTCGTCCGGATGACCCTCTGGTCAGGACAGCTCGCTCTCTCGACGACGGCGCAGGGCGTGCTCCGCGGCCACAGAGACCTCTTCGGCGTCCCCTTCGCCTCGCCCCCCTCGCTTCCGGCCGCTCCCGTCTCCTCCGTCTCGAGGTGGCACGTCAGCTCCCGCACCAGCCCGGTGATCCGGTGCAGCGCCATCAGGAAGACGACGGTCCTCGTGGCAACGAACCCGGGCGGCGTCGGCGGCTTGCCCTTCTTGCCCGTGCCGGTGCAGACGAGGACCTGGTCGGCGACGTCCCGCTGCGTGGGCGGGATCCCCGCAAACAGCGGCGCGCTGAGCGAGGAAGTGATGCCCGGCAGGACCGTGACCCGGTCGCCGAGGCCGTGATCCCTGAAGTATGCCACCTCCTCCCCGCCGCGGCCGTAGATGAACGGGTCGCCCTGCTTCAGCCTCAGGACCGTCTTCCCCTCTTTGGCGCCCGCGAGCGCGAGCTCGTGGAGCTCCTCCTGCGCCTGGTCCGCGTTGCCGGGGAACTTGCGCGCGATCCGCACCGGCGTGCGCCGCGGGATCAGGTCCAGCACGCCCGCCGGCACGAGCTTGTCTGCGAGGACCAGGTCCGCCGTCTGGATCGCCTTGTGCGTCGCGCGCGTCAGGAGGTCCGGGTGGCCCGGCCCGCTCCCTGCGAGGATGATGCGCCCCTGCTGCTGCGGGCTCGACGCGCCGCCGCCGAGGCCGCCGAGGCCGGCGGGGGAGGGGGGCGGTTTCGCGGCGGCTTCCGGCAGCGCGTTGCCGTTGCCGGCGTACGATCTGAGCACAGACTCGACGTCGTTTTCGTCGATGGCGGCGAGGCGCTTCAGGGGCCAGTACTCGCAGACCTGGCCCAGCCAGCGCATGCGCCTGTTCTTGGCGGCGTCGAGGTCGGCCTCGGTGACGAGCTTGTTGAACGACGCCGTCTGGTCGAGCGAGTCATCCGCCTCGTCGGGCTGCGCCGAGAGACGGTCCTCCGTCTGGATCCGCCGCCTCACGTCGCCCAGCCTGGCGCAGGCGGCGCCGAGGTCCTTGGGCAGCGCGGCGGCGACCTCGCGCCGGATGCGGGATGCGAGCTTGCAGCCCCGCCCGTTGGTCGTGACGCCAATCTGCAACGGCCCGTCCGTGTGCGTCGACAGCAGCGAGAAGGAGCACAGGTGCGGCGCATCGACGACGTTGACGGGGATGCGGTTCCGCCTGCACAGGGCGGAAATGTGCGCCGCCAAGGGGTCGCGGGGCCCCGAAGTGACGAAGACGGCGTCGACGACGTTGTCGACCTCGTCGCGGCCGAGGGTGAAGAGGTCGGCGTCCTCAAAGGCTTTCCTGTGCCATGTCACCTCGCCGGCGTCGACGCGTTTTTGCAGGCCGTAGTGCAGGTCTGAGGTGTCCGGGGCGAGGAGGATGGTGGCGGCACCGGCGGCGAGGGATTGTGTGCAGCGGGCGGCGGCGAGTGGGTTTGTGCCGATGATGAGGTGTGTGTCGCCCTTGCAGTTAAGGGCTGCGAGGAGAGATGATGTTGTTTTTGTTGTCGCTGTTGTTATTGTCGTCGTCGTCGTCTTCGTCGCCATTATGAGGAGATGGTGAAGTGAGATAAGACCCGAGAGTCGCTCGTCGTCTTCTCTGAGATGTTTGTGTGAGTCGACGATGTTCTTCCAGTGGTGTAAGAACCCCTGTCTCCGCAGAGACTCGTCTTAGTGGAGGAGTTGCGATGGTGAGAATGAGACGACGACCAAATACCAACGGTTACGAGCGTTAAGGTGAAATGGAACAGGTGGAATCGAGTCAAAGCCAAAGTCGGTACTCTGTAGACGGATTTCTTTACTTTGTCATGAGGACAGGAGACGAAGCATTAATATCGTCAGCCACTTTGCCATGCCCTTTTTCTTAATAATAACTCTATCCGTACCCGTCCATGCCCCAGCATAGCAATCACCTATACACTACCACACCACTCCCGCCCTCAAAGCAAAGACCGAACGCGGATAGGCCCAATCATGCGGCGGGCAAAAAAAGGTTGGCCAAATTTTCATTCGCTGGCGATGACACCATCCCGATAGCCGTGCCCCAGTCCTTATCGGGCGTTCCTGGCGGTCCCGGCCAATCAGCGGCATCTGCACCGACTCCCGCGGAGCCGTCACCGGAGATCCCTTCGACGCCCTCTCCCCTCCCCCAGGCCGATGCATCTCCGGTGTCAGTCGATCTAGCGTCTGCATGTCAGATAGGCCTGCACCGAGATGCTTGGAACCCGGAGGTGTCAAAATCTATAAGAGTTGTGGTATTGTAAAGCGATATGTAGCGGCTCGCTCGTCTTTGAGCCATTCTGGATACATCGTCATATGTATGCCCTCTATTCCCGTCTCTCCGACTCCTCTAGTTGGTGTCGTAGCAAAGTGTTGTTACAATGCAAATTCGATGCCTTTTTCCAGTGCCTATTTTTTTTTGTACAATGATCCTGTTGTTACAAGGTATTTTCTGTTCTTCTCCTTCCCTTTTACATCTGTTGCTCATCCTCCTTGGCCAGCTTCCTCATCAAGTCCTGACGGGCCGCCTTCCTGCTACCCTTCCGTCTCGAAGCGGCCTCGGCATCCTCCGGGTTGCCGAGGACGCCCGTCTCGTTGATGTCGACGCCAATGACCTTCTTCTTCTTGCTCATGGCCGCCTTGGCGCGCTGCGCCCGGACGCCGCCGTCGTCCAGCGCCGCGGGCCTGCCCAGCCGCACGTTGCGGAGGTTGCGCGTCTTGGCTCCCAGAGCCCACAGGTCGCCCCACTTGGCCTTGCGCGCGTCGTGGTACGCCTGCCTGCTGAAGCTTTTGGGGACCGTCCAGCGCTCGATCTGCGCGTTGGGCGTGCAGACGTCGATCGTGACGTGGCCGCGGCGCTTGATGGGCGGGAGGATCTGGCGCGGGAGGGAGAGCATGTCGGGCGCGGTCCCGGACCGCTCGAAGCCCTCGAACGCGCGCCGCGTCGCCTCCTCGCCGGCGAGGGGCCCTTCCTTGGCGGGGACGCCGCGCTGGATGGCGACGTAGCTGAACAGGACGTCGTCGTGGTTGCGCTGCGTCGCGCCCATGATCCTCTGCAGGAACGGCGGCCGGACGAAGCGCTGGCTGAAGTGGCAGAAGTCCTTGCGCCCCGTGCTCTTGCCGGCGGTCTGGTACATCGGGCACCCGCGGTGGTTCGTGCAGGGCGCGATGATCATGCCGGGCTCCCTGACCCGCTCGTAGGCCGGGTTCCGCTGCCCCTCCTCCTCCTCGCCCTGCGTGAGGGGGTTCTCGCCGCCGGGCCGGATCAGAAACTCGCTGAGCAGGCGCTCGCGGACGTCGGCCACCGCCTCAAAGCCGCGGGGCTGCCCCTTCTCTAGGACGATCAGGACACCGCCGTCCGGGTTCAGCAGGGACCAGAGGTTGTTCAGGATCGCCTTGCGCCTGTGGCCCTCCTTGACGGGGAGGAGCAGGTGGGAGGCGATAATGACGTCGTACATCTTGCGCGGCTTGGGCACCTCGTTGGCATCCAGCTGCAGGTGCGCGTTGTCGACCGAGTGGACGTAGTCCGGGAGGCGCGGCAGGAAGGTTGTGTTATGGAGGAACTTGGCGACGCGGTTCCGCAGCTTCTCGGCGCCGACGACCACGGACTGCTTCCCGGGCGGGTTCTTGGCCTCGACCTCGCCGCGCGACCGCATCGCCTCCCACTCGGCGCGCAAGATGTCCTGCCACGCCAGGAGAGCGGCGCCGCCGGCCCCGGCGTCGAGGACGCGGGGGCCGCCGGGCTTCTCGAACAGCTTGCGCAGCCAGTCGGTGCCCAGGCGCTTGCGCACCTCCACCAGAGTGCCCATGGACGACGCGTACGCGGGGGGCAGGAACGAGGAGACGAAGGCGTCCGCCTCGATGTCGGACATCTTGTGCTGCCACGCGGCCATGCCGATGGGCTGTTGCCCCAGGCCCATCTTGGACGCGGGCGTGGCGGGGGAGTAGGGCAGGCCGGGTCCTCCGAACGCCTTCTCGGCAGCCTCCTTCACGTGCTTGATGTCGGTCCTGTCGAGCATCGTCATGACCGGGGCGACGTACCCGACGTGCGGCAGGCTCACGGTGCTGGGGTTCGTCGAGAAGTGCCCCTCCCTCGTGAAAGGGTGCATGCGACCGGCACGCGTCGAGGTCCTCTGGTCCGCGATACCGTCCTCGTCCAAGTCCAAGTCTTCGTCGTCCTCGTCCTCTTCGAACTCTCGTTCCTCGTCCCGCAGCGCCTCTTCCTCTAGACGACCCCGTTCAGCCTCTACGGCGGCACGGGCGGTTTCCTCAAAATCTTTTTGCAACTTTATGAGAGCATCGTATTCTCTCTTGTTCCTCGCCACGATGTTGATGTATTTGTCGCTGCCGATGGGCGTCTGTTGCCCGGTCGCTCCGGCGCCTCGGGATGTTTCGGAGGAGCCATCGTCCTGTGCCGCCTCTTCCTCGCCATCGGTCTGCTTTTGTGCTGGTTCCTTCGGGTCATACTGCACCTCCTGCAGCGTGCCGCCCTCCATTTGCCGAAGGAGAGTCGTGCCGCCAGAGCCGTGTCGTCGGAGCCGTGCAGAGTGTTCGTCATTCAGGTATTTGATGCCGACGTCGTCCGGCGACGTCTCTCTCAGCGGCGGCCCGTACCACCGCTCGTACAGCTCGTACTCCTCTTCGCTGAGGTAGCCCTTGGGCAGTGTATCCCGGAATCTCTGCTTCGCCTCCCGAACCGTCGTCTCGATGTCGGCGCTTCGCGCGAGCCCCTCGACTTCGTCTCGTTTCGGTTCGGCGTCTTTGAGCTGCCGCGAAGTTGTCGTGAATGCTCTACGGGCAGCGGGCTTGTTCGATAATGGCAGAGCAGCTGGGCGATTCTGTTGCGCGAAGCTCGATCGAGATGACCGACCAGCTAGAGATGCGCCGGCAAGACCATTTCCTGCCCAGCTCGTCAGACGAGCTCGACAGCTCGGACAGGCGTTTCTAAGGCCTCCTGCAGTCAACATGATTGACCTCTTCTTCTTCTTCTTCTTTACCGTAGGGTGGCGACACGGACTGGGGAGTGGGAAAAAAGAGCAAGCTTCGACTTTTCGCAATCGAAATTTGGACAGCTCTGCAAAGAGGCCCCACTTGTTGCAAATAAAAGCTCCCCGATTGGATCAAGCACTGTTGGTGATGGAAGTACCCCGGCATGTGATACCTCAGGCTGGGTACCTAATTGACATTGGCGTAGGGTACGGTACCTAACAAGGAAAATTGAAATATGAATTGTGGACTTGCAAACTATGTGGCGAATTCGAATCAATAATAGGGGCGGCGTGCAGGTTGGCAGCCTCGTAAGCGACGACTCATGCCTTGCCCATTTGTCCGAGTCCTCTCTGCTATCGTGGCCGAACGGCGGCGGCAGACGGCCCAGGAAAAGCGGATCACTATTGACGGACCGGGGCCGGAACTCACCGGCGGGGACGCCGAATACCTGCAGATACTAACAATCAATTCCCCATCCCGCGTACCTCGTGAGTGCCTCAAACCCAAAGGGAGTGGGTGCCATCCCACCAGCTCTCACTCACTAGTGCACGGAGACAAGATGGACGTGGATCTGATGTGACTGGTCGAGCCCTATAATCGCGGGCGGCCCAAGGGAAACGCGGGGGTCGGGGCAGGATTGTCTTCCTAGCGGTGCATTACGTAGGTGCCTAAACAGGTCGAGCGCCGTGTCTCAGCGAAGCCTTTGCACACATACCTACACTACGTTGCTCATCCTGCCCCTCCTTGAAAAGTCCAAGCCCATACTGACGCTGGCTTGTTCCGCGGATTACTGTACGGTTCGATATTTGATTCGGAAACCCTTTTGCAAGGTCGCATGTTCCAACGGCTCCTCAAAAACATTTCCGCTAATCCGACGTTCGAATCGCCATGGAGGATCAAGCCCGAATGCAGCCCGTCACCATCTCGGGTCGCTACCTTTGGACGGGGAACACCAGGGTGATAAGTCCTTGTTTGATATAAAGTCACTTCACGGTCAGCGCGAGTTTCTCTACTAACTGCTGTCTATGAAGTTCATGATCCGAGGGGTCGTATATCAACAGCATGTGCGACATGGCAATATGAAGCACGGCTGCCATGACCCATTGGCAGATGAAAACGTCCAAGATCTCAAGCTCAGCATACCCCTTCTCAAAGAGTTAGGGGTCAACACCCTTTTCATGTGTATATGTTCCCCTATGGATTTGCCCACCAGAAGCCGAGTCGGGGGCTGACTGGATTCAAGATATAATCGACGCCACCAAGAGCCACGATCAGGCCATGAGCATACTTGCCAGTGCTGGTATATATGTCATTGCGGTCCGTCAAGCCATTTGTCTACCTCGAGCGTGCAGCCGAGCTCACAGTCACGGCCGTGTAGTGCTTGTCGAATCCCCAGAGCTGTATCGACCGCACCTCGCCACTCGCGTGCTACACGCCGACCCTCTTGCAGAACTACTTCGCCATCGTCGACTGCCTGGCGGCGTATCCCAACACCCTGGGCGTCATCGTCGCGAACAGTGTCATCAACAGGGCCGCAGGCACAACGGGAGCTGCCGTCATCCGTGCCGTGGCTAGAGATGTCAAGAGGTACATGGCGCTCGCGGCCGAGCTCAAGGGCCAGAGGGTTCTGCCGGTGGGACTGAGTTCGGCCCGGGTCATGAGCTTCTTCCGGGACGAGTTCAAGTACTTCACCGGCGGCGACCCGAGCGAGGCCCTCGATTTCTTCTGCGTACGTCACCATCTCCCTTGACTGCTTCTGTGGGCGGCCGTGAATTTTGGTGAAACTGACACCTGTTCCAAGTTCAACGAGTTCTCCTGGGTCGGTAATTCCTCCATGGAGATTTCTGGATACAGCCGCATTGTAAGATTCCAACTGTCCTGAAACTAAATTGTGTATCGTCCGACTAACCCCCCCTCTCTCCCTCTTCCTCCCACTTAGCTCGAGTTTTTCACAGAAGCCCACGTCCCGGTCTTCTTCTCCGAGTACGGCGCCAAGACCAGCGACCAGGCGAGGCCTTTTCTCGAGACCCTCGCCATTTACTCCCCGGAGATGTCGCGGGTGTACTCGGGCGCCTGCGTCTACGAGTTCTTCTACGGTCCAAACCGATACGGCCTTGTGCAGAAGAACTCGGACGGCACGCTTGAGCCGCTCCAAGACTTCCGGAATCTGAAGGCGAACCTGGCGCCGTCACCTCCTCCCGCGACTCTTGACGAGTGGGCATCCAGCGAGCTCACCGCGCCCAAGCGGCCGAACTTGCCCCCGCAGAGCAGCAACTGGAACGGGGAGGCGGTGCTGCCCGACTGTCCGCTGGACTGGGCCGAGATTCGGTCGCACGTCGAAGACTCTGATTGGGTCCATGTCGACCGGGGGACGACGGACACAATGGTGGAGAGTCTGGCGGGTCTGTTCAAGAAACCGAGTCGATATTAGATAGGTCAGTTCCGCTCGACTCGAGAGTGATTGAACAATGCCTTTCCGAGGTTAGCGGCCTCCAAAATGACAAAGTAGCCAGCCCGGAGATGGTTGTAGTGATCCCAGGACTCGATTGCACAGTCTAGAACCGACTGCCAGAACACTTCAGATTTTGGCCGTGTCTGATTCGCTTCCAATATCTTTGCTTCGAATAGCTCTCGTTCTGGAAGGACTGCATCCTGAGAGCTCTTGTCAGTTTCCACTGTACCGCAAGGTGATCTGGTCACGTCTCTCCTCTGCAGTGTGGGCGCTGAGGCCGGGCGTATGGACAATCCTGACGGTCCAGTCGTCCGCCCACTGCCTGGTGACGGCAGCCAAACGCTGCCTTGCGTCATCGACGCAGTCTTCTCTCTCTGTGCCTGTAGCTAGATCCTGCTTGTTAAGCAGAACCCACATGTCGTGACACTTTGTCTGGTGCTGTATGAACGACATTGATCTGGAGAGTTCTTCGGCAGCCTCGACGAGGCGGTCTCGGTCGATAACGCGGACGACTAGAAGGACGAAGTCTGCAGTCTGCGGGCGACTGTTGGTCCAAGGTGTCCCGAACCTAGTGCATCCTGTCGATGCGGGACATTAATGCGAGCCACGGTCTCCGGAGAGGTGTTTTAGGGCAACACGTGAAAGCCTTTCGAAGGGGCAGGGCAGAACAGAGGCGCTGGGCTGGACAGCTTCCTTAGGGGAGCTTACCTCCGAATGACATGAGCTCATAGGTTGATCCGTTCTTGAAGGTGAAGGTTTCCTTGTTAAGTCTTCGGGCTCGCGGGAAGGAAGGTCGCCTAGGTAAGGCAGCGAAACAGACACTGGGGACAAGGAAGCTGGAATTGATGTCTCTTCCTGTTTGGAAAGTCTTCAGGAGAAGTGGTGTCTTGGCCGCAAGGTCGTCTGTTGACATCCACGTGGCAACCGTGCTCCTTCTTCCTACCGGTGGTAGCCTGCATCTGGGTGTGTGATAGGTACCTCGGTTTCTTGTTGATCACGACTCACCCACACCGAACGCATGGGCCTCCAGTTATTGCAATTGCAGGCAACAGCCAAGTTGTCTAGTGTAGATAGTCGGAGGAAGTCCTGGTAACATATGTTTTCCAGCAGTGTTTTGTCAACGTCTTCCCATGATTTACTTAGAAAAGCGGTATTCCGTTGCAGAAAACAAAGCGCGGCAACGATGCAGAAGCTATCTGTCTGCCTAGCTGCCTAGGTAGGTACCTACCGAAGTACCTACTTAGGTAACTATAGCTACTTACCTTAGGTACTGAGACAATGAGCTCTCAGGGTGCAAGGAAAACGGCGACTGGCTCCTTCTGCCAAACTCACAAATTGAACTAAGGCTGTGCAAGGGTAAGGAAAGCCCTGCCTGGCCCTCACCTTCTCGATTTGGTATCCGTACCTGCCTAACTAGATACCTATGTGTATATAGGTGTGTTTTTTCATTGGTGGTTTATTAGCGGAGGGCGCCCATCCTGCTTCCTCTATATCATCTTTCCTTTCCTCCCCTCTCCTCCAAACTCATTACACTTCTCAATCAACTTGAAGCAAGTAGCTACTTCTCAGCACCTAGGTAAGTGTGACTACATTTTCCTCTCTCCATCTCCCATGGCGTTCACTCGACTTTCGTTATTTTCAAACAAGCCCTCGCCACGTTCCTTATTACTCTCGTCTCGCTTTCCATTCCTCCTCTCATCTCATATTCACTTCAACTTTTACCTTGGCTTTCACCCCAATTTTCATCAACCCAAAATTGGCTCTAAACATCGCCCTTGTACTCTCCAGAACCCAAACTGACTAGCCAACACCCATACAGTCACCAACATGTCCTCCGGTGACGCCATGATGGGCTTGGAGGAATCAAATACGGACTTCATCAAGAAGCTCCATGATGACCTCCACGAGCGTACCGTTTGGGGCTCGGGACGGCCTGAGACGACGGCCTCGACCCCGCCGGCCACTACTTGAGCCAGTGCGAGACGGCCCTTAGATCCGCAGAGGGTCAGTCAGTCATTGCCGTCACGGACCAGCTCACCCGTTTAGTCTTCGAGAGAGGCTCCGTCTGTGGCTCATGTTATATGCCGCAGCGATACTGCCCTCGCTATATACAGAGAAACCCGAGCTGCAGCTTGGGACAAACCTTCAAGGATGTAGCAGCCACACTTATCGTTATGTCCCCCGCCGACGTACAAGCTGCCCTTGTTGCCCTGGGCTTGTCCGATATCTAGAGTCCGCAACCAATATCCCTCACAACCATTGAGGATGCTAACACTCGCCCATATCTGGACCTAATGAGCCCCTCGCCTCAGTTCGCCGGTTGGATTACAAAGAATGTAGGCGAGATGAAGTTCTGGACGGGGGTATGGACGAAATTCTAGATGAAAACCCGAAGAAAGTTCTGGATGAAGTTCCGGGAGAAGTTTTAGATGAAGGTTCGAATAGGCCTAGGCGAAGAGCTGAATGAGAGAGACCTTGTAGTAATTGCAAAGAACTATTGAGATACTGAGCATGGACTATATGCCTATCCCTTCGCCATCGTGATAGCATCGCGGACATTCTGCTGCACTATGAAGTCAAAGGGGCGGTGCGGCGTCAGGGCCCATATGCGTGGTAGCTTATATGGGAGCAGTTTGTTATTAGGGATTGACCCAACAACGAATGGTATTGGGGGCACCATCAAGTTATATTCCGCCATCGTAACGAAATCTTATTTGTCGGCTTCACCAAAGCTGAATACATTAACCCAAGAATACCAGAAACGCCTTGCGCCTGTAACCCTATCCTCACACTATTCGTCACCTCCCAGGTCTGCCAGGGTCTTGAACGCCGGGGCCCTCGGGGCCTGCCGGGTCTTGGGGCCAGCACCATTAGCGGGCTTCACGACCGGCGGGGGCGGGTTCACGCGGTTGAACCGCGACATCTCGGCCGCCTTGTGGGGATCGATCTACCAGTCCGTCAGCAAGCGGTTCTTCTTGCCATTCGCCGGGTCGCTCGTGAGCCAACGCACCGAGAACAGCGAGACGAGGTACAGCCCGATAAAGGTGATGATGCTGTCCAAGATGCCACGGAACTGCCACGACACCGGGCGCCGCAGGCTCGCGCGCGGGGGCTGGTCGCCGCCGAGGGTCCGGCCGGGGGTCTTGAAGGAGGCGGCGGAGCGGCCGCCCTTGTCGGGAAGCTTGAGGGCGTTCTGAATGGCTTGCGTCAGGGCGGGGGGGTTCGCGCCCTTGATGGTCTCGACGGCCTGGCCGCCGTGGAAGACGATGAAGGTGGGCATGGCGCTGACGTTGTGTGCGCGGGCGATGGCGGATTGGTTGTCGACGTTGATCTTGCAGAAGGCGACCTTGTTCGGCTTCGAGTACTCCTTGGCGAGGCGTTCGAAATGAGGCGCGATCACCTTGCAGGGGCCGCACCAGTCGGCGTAGACTAGGAGACGATGTTTGTCAGCGGGTTGTCGGATGCGCGGCGGGGTGATGATGATGATGATGGGCTCAATAGATGGATGGACTTACAATCGGCGATGACGACATTGTTTCCGCTGAGGATACCTTGCCATTGACCGACAGACTGGACACTGATGAGACTCATGTTTGCGAAGACTGCGGTGCGACCAGGACAACGTTAGTAGGCGCAGGGTCGTGAAGCTGGAGGGATGTCGGAATGAACACCTGGAGGGTGCGGCGCAACACTGTTGGAGTTGACGGGTAGCTTCCGCGGCCTAGACCCAGCGGAAGGGTGGTGGCGGGTAGCAAAAGCGGAAGGCGGCGTGACATGACTCCGCATTTCTGCCGGATTTACCCCAGGATCCGCACAGAGAGTGGGACACCGCTCAGAAACTTTTTGGGAACACCGAATGAAGCCGAAAGCTTCCGCAGGACATCCCCCATCTCAACGTAGGTAGAAAGCTTTGGTGTATTCAATTACCGTCAAAATGGCCTACGATCAAAGAACAAAGGTATGAAAGAAATACTGTTCCTTCTAATAGACGTCGCAGCTATGCTTACATGAAATAAATAGAGGAGAAAGACCGACGATGACAACTATGTCGACACAACGAGGATCTCTTCCAGGTTCCAACCCTATGAGGGTGGCCGTACCTGGACAGTCTCGGTTGCCATTCCCAGCAGCATTCTCACAGAGTGTGTCGCTCCATAACCAATCCATCTATACTGAACCTCAATTAACCCTATTCTAGTGCCATAACTGCCGAGCGTCGCACTGCCGTTGCGGGTCGCATCGCCCGAGCCCTTGCCGTCTTCTCCATCGACGAGATCGTCCTCTTCGACGACAGCCCGGTCGAGTCCCGCCCCAAGAACGTCGACACCAAGAGCTATACCGGCGACGTTGACGGGTGCCACTTCCTTGAGCACCTCCTTGGCTACCTTGAGGTCCCGCCGTTTATGCGCAAGATGCTGTTCCCGCTCCACCCGAATCTGCGTCTCGCCAACCAGCTCCCCGCGCTCGAGATGCCCCATCACCCGAACCCGACCGACTGGCTGCCGTACCGCGAGGGTGTCGCTGGAAAGGGCACACCCCAGGGCACCTTGATCGACGTCGGCTTGAAGGACCCCGTTCTGATCGAGGACGAGGTGCCCCCCAACACGCGCGTGACGCTGTCCTACCCGGACTACAACACAGACAAGGCGGAGGCGTGTGATCCGTCGGCGCCGAGGGAAGAGGGCGGCTACTACTGGGGATATCAGGTACGGCGCGCCAACTCCCTGTCGGCCGTGTTCACGGAGTGCAAGTACGAGGGTGGTTACGACGTTAGCATCGGCACGTCGGAGCGTGGGCGCACGCTCTCGGAGGCGTTCCCCAGCGCGGCGCCTATGGACTTCAAGCACCTGCTCATCGTCTTCGGCGGCCCCAGGGGCATTGAGTTCGCGGCCCTTAATGACAAGGAGCTCGAGGGCATGGAGATGACTCCCGCTAAGACGAGGGAACTGTTCGATCACTGGGTGAATGTGCTGCCTGGCCAGGGAAGCCGCACCATCCGCACAGATGAGGCTATCTGGGTGGCTCTCACGAGCCTGAGACGGTTGTGGGTCGAGGTCTGATGTGATCTGGCGAACAAGGGGCGCTGTTGGGTCAGCATCCTGGCGGAGACATGATACCCATAATGGAAAAGTTTTGTTTGATCAACGCGGATTTCAACGTGATGGTGACGTTCTCGGTGATGACAGTCGAGAATTCTTGTTCCAATACCCGAAAGGCCGAAGGGAATGGGCGTCGTGATACATACTTGGTTGGCATGCGAATGAGACAGCGAGTTTGGCCGACAGCACGTTCGAGTCGCCACATTCCCCTCAGACCCCTTTGAAGTGCAGTTAGGGGGGCATCGCTCACTCGGTAACGGCCTGAGGCGACATACGCATAGGAAGCCAATGTTGCGTCAGAGGAAGCCCGCAGAGTCAGGAATACTATCATGAAAGGGCTATGATATGCTATAGGTCTGGCTCTCCGATTCCCCGAGTGGCATAGCTGGGTTTGTCCACATCGTGCCTATATCCAACCATCAAAAAACTCTAAAAAAAACTGCCGATTCATGCTAGTTTTGAGTCACTTTGACTTTGGCTTTTACGTTTTAGAAAGAAAAGAAAAAGAGGGGAGAGGACAGAGTCGGGAGGACACAATGGAAACAACCGGCGACAGAAGAAATGATTGATTGTATTGAGTACTGGTGCAGCGAAAGAAAAACAAACAGCCTAGTGTTGGTACAGCGCGATACCGGCCGTGAACCCGGCAACGTTGTCCCTGTAAAAGGCGACGTCCGTCCCGTCCCTCGTGACCATGGCCGTCGTGCCGACGATCTGGAGGTTGTACACCTCGACGCCCATCGTGGGGACAGCGTAGTCGGCCGGCCCGTCGCGGACGTCGACGATCCTCTGCTGGCACCGGGCGCCGGCCCCGATCTGGCAGCAGGCGGTGCTGTAGTTGTTGAAGAAGGAGTAGTGGCCGGCGCCGAAGGCGACGACGTTGCGGCTGGCGACGACGCGCAGGCCCCACGCCATCTCGCACGGCGGCGCGCTCGGGTCGTGGTCCCGGCAGTCCGCCTCGAAGTCCGGGTCGTGGTAGCCCTGGACGCGGGGGAAGGGGACGGAGGCGACGGGGTTCGGCTGGTAGTAGGGCGTCTCGGACTGCACCTGGCCCATGTAGACGTCGCGCGTGTTGACGAGCTGGTACTGGTAGAGCGTGTGGTGCTCGCTGCCCGAAGCCGAGAGCCAGACCCTGCCGTTGGCCGACTCGACGAGCAGGCCGCGGCCGGCGTAGACCGTCACCTGCGTGTAGTTGGGGTCCTCGAGGTCGTGGTCGGCGACCCAGAGCCAGCAGTTCTCCACGAACAGGTTGGAGCTCGACTTGGTCATGTGCATGCTCATGAAGGCGGCGATGCAGTTCGCGTCGACCGTGTCGGCGGTGACGGCGACCTCGGGCGTCGTGGGGCACTGCGCGAGCTGCAGCTGCGTGCCGGCGAAGCCGCCCACGCGGACGTGCACGTCCCACATGCCCGCCGGCTCGCCGAGGGAGTTGAGGTTGTACTCGATGACCTTGGCGCCGGGCGCCGCGCCGCGCGTCGAGACGATCATGTCGGACCACTCGACGGTGCCGCACTGGCCGGGGAGGGCGACCTTGACGACCGGGTGGGGGTTCGTGATGTCCTGGAACTGGGCGCCGCCGCCCATGATGATGGAGGCGAGGGCCTCGCCGACGACCCGCGCGCCGGGGGGGATGAAGACGGTGTCGGAGACGTAGTACGTGCCGGCGTCGATGAAGGCGACGAGGCTGGCGGAGGGGTCGGCGGTCACGTAGTTGAGGAGGTTGTTCAGCGCCACCGTGTCGTCCGTGCTGCCGTCGCCGGCGGCGCCGAAGTCGCGGGCCGAGATGAAGTTGCTCGCGGGGAGGTCCGCGTAATGCGGCTTGGAACGCTCATAGTACTTGGTGCCGCCGGTCGAAGAGACGCCCTGGAGGGCAGGGTAGACGGGGAAGTAGGCGGCGTCGTCGCCGGTGTAGTCGGTCGGGCCGGTGGGCGTGTAGATGTGGCCCATGGCGAAGCCCTGGCTGCGGACGCTCTCCGAGGACCCGGGGATGATGGTGTTGTTCTGGGGGCCGAGGAGGATGGCGTTGACCCCGACGAAGCCGACGTTCTCCATGACGAGCGTGCCGGCCGTGGTGGGCACGGAGGCGTCCGGGTCGCGGCTGGAGCGGATCGCGGTCTCGACGTTGACGAAATCCGAGTCGATGAGAGTGATGGAGGTGGTGCCGGCGTCCTGCATACGGATGCCGGTGCCACAGTTCTCGATGTAGATGCTCTTGTAAGTCCAGCCCCAATCCCAGATCTGGTTGATGGCTACCTGGACGTTGAAGAAGCCTAGAATCTCGACATCAGCAACACGGTCGAACGAACGAACGAACGAACGGGTTTGAGCCGACTTACTAGCCCCGCGAAGGGTGTATTGCTGGTTACCGAAGCTGGCGCCGTACTGTCCTCCGTAAAATTCCAGGTCATTGAGGAGACCTCCAGAGCCCTCCTCTATGAAGAGGCCGACATGCTTGCTGTCTGGCCCTTCGGCAAGGTAGAAGGCGCAGTTGGTAATGGAAGTGGCTTGAGACGACGGCCAGTGGATCGCATAAGCAGCCGCCGAGGCCGGGATGGCGGTGGTATCGAAGACGAGGTTGCGGACTTGCCTGAAGAAGACGTTGGTCGCACCCCATGCCAGGCCGTCTGCGCCGTACTACGGGAGTTGGACAGTCAGCTTTGTGAATCAAAGGAGGATTCGGCGAAGCAGCTTCCAGGGAGAAGATACCTGGTTTCCATCGAGAAGGCCAAGAGTTGTGTTGGTGGGGAAGTCGGCGGTAGCCTTGATGACGGGGCGGTCAGTTGGGTCACCAATGATCTGGGTATAGAAGTAGTCGATGATGGAACCCGAGATGAGATAAGTTCTGGAGGGGGGTCTGTTAGCCGCCGTTGGTCACCGGGAGACTGAATATATCTTACCCAGGGGGGAAGTAGACGGTTGCCGGCGATGTGGTCTCGCCCTTGCAAGTGCCCGGTCCGCATCTCTGGCCAGAAGAGATAGCGAGGTTGATGGCAGCAGTGTCATCCGTGACGCCGTCTCCCCTGGCGCCGAAGTCCTTGACGTTGCGGAAGACTTGGTAGTTGGGGTCCGGATGGTATGCTGAGATGCCCCGGTGCGGGACGTCCTCCATCCAGTAGGCGGCTTTGGCGAGTGTGGCTGCCGCGAACCAGAACGCTGTTGTGACACGCATTCTGGATGTTGGTTGTGATGGATACTACGGATAAATCGAGATCAAATGACGGATGAGATGATGCTCATAGATAATGAGTGACTGGTTGGAGGGAGTGGACGAGTGAAAACTCGAGAAACGACTTTAGAACGAATGTGTGTAAGCCAGCTCCGGCCGATAGGACCAGTGAGTTAGGGGGCTGAAAATCCAAAGCTAAAAGACCCAATAGCTGCGAGGCAAGAAGAAAAAAAGGAATAATGAGTGGCACGATTCTGACGAGAACCTAGAACGACGATTGGACGGATACGATATCCTAGAAAACTATACACATTGGTCCATGGTGGGATGAGCCGCGAGACCGGTACGATTACTCAAAACTGTCCAGACGGATTGCCCTGGGTTGAAGACCAGAGATGAGGAGATGGAGCAGCGGGAGCGAAAGAGGGCAGCGGAGACCCTTTTGGTCTTTATTGACCAGAATGCCGTTGGCCTGGTATGAAGGGGATCAACGGGTGAGAGTGGCGCCCAAGAAGCGTTGGCCGCGAGAACGGCCGGAAGGGATGGGGTTGAAAGGGGGGATAGGGAAAGGGCCCAAGGGATCGAGACAAGCATATCTCGTCTTCTCTCTTCTCCAACGCTTCAACAGCCCAATGACGCTCATCGCAATTTGGCCTCCCCGCCCCTCCCATTCCCCGCGTTGCGCGTGCTTCAGCTGAGTCACTTCCTCTCTCCACGCGAGCGGGCAGAACACGATGCGGGCCAGTGCCATGTCGCGCAGGTTGAATAATGAAGCAGCCTGCCAAGCAGACGATGATGGCGGCGGATCCAGGTCGCCAGACAATCAATCCTCTTCACTCTGCCCATGAAATGTCGGCCCATCGTCCAATTCCATAACCATGCGCCAGCCATATACCGGCAACGCTTGAACTGAACGAGGCGCTGAGTGTGCCGTTTGACGCGCTGACACGGCAAGAAGCAAAAGCACAAGCTTGCGACATTGCTTTTGAAGATACCCGATATGCCGAGGGTTTGTTTCGTGGCTGGCTCGTATGGCCTTACAGGTGTGCATTGCGGCCACGACTATGATGACGCTACACGCACCAGGAGGGACGGAAAAGGGCGTTGGAATACAGGATAGTGTGCTGGACCCGGATGGACAGGCTGCGCTTAGTGAAATGAGGATGCCCCCAGACGCGCAGGCGACTTTGAAAAGAGTGAGATTCCGTAGGGGGCACGCTTGTCTTAATATGAAGGAAGCCAGCGAAGAAAGCCGGATGCACCTCCGCGCCGCGTGGAATCCTGAGCATTGCCGCCGCCGTCAAGGACGTTCCTGAGTCTGCAGTTTCTCCAATGCTATTCGGAGGGGGGGGGGGGGGACTAGCATGGACTTTGCTTGCCATTTGTGTTTTCATCCCGACGTCTGACGCGAGGAGCTGAACGCGGCATGCGAAATAACCATTGGGTGTTTGAGAGGGAGTCTCCCATCGACGACAGGGAATATTAAAATAAGCTTTTAATTAGGGGGGGGATGATGAAGAAACCTTCACTCGCGGCCCCCGGTCCGGCTGTCACCTTCATGTGTAATGTGAGCCCCAACCCCTTGCCATCTTTGACCGGAGAGGTTAGGTTGCATCGCCAAATAACCCTACGGAGCAAGTCCGGGCTCGGCCTAAAGCTCATGCATAGGTAGAGAGATGTTTGCCAGTTGGGAAGAACCAGAGAGAACACCCGTAAGGTACCACTCCAGAGAGCGCTTCGGGCAGAGGGAATGCCGACTCCCTCACTAACAAATCGAGGGAGAGGGCACAGCAAACATTGAGCCGGCGGCTTGGCCCATTTGACGACGCGTCACACACGAGACGACTGCTGGCGCCAATTCTGGGGGAGGGGGTTATAGGCTCCGGCAAGAAATCCCCATTGATGCGGTTCCTGGCACGCGGGGAAATTGGATTCAACATACGAAAGAATGGCTTCTCCCCCCATCTCGCCGACCCTGCTTTCCTATCATGCGGCCGACACCTTGGCCAAGACAAGGGTTGCTACGAATCGGGCTGCTGCGATTGACAGGTACGGACGGTACTTACGGCTCAGATCATATCATGTTTCGTGACACGCAGATACGGCGGAGGAACGCCGTGATCAGAGTTTCGCTCTCTTCGAGTGGGCTGTTGTTGAACGCCAGTACGTGTGTGACTACATTATGTGTACATGCTCGACGGGTGCTCCAACACAGAAACACCTCGAGATATACGTGTCGCCGCGGCGTTGAAGACGGCGATGCCCCGTGATGGATGAAAGTCCCGACCTTCCCGAAAATAACGCCAACCATGCCGTCCGAAGCTGGGGCCCCTCCTCACCACCACTTCCGGTATTTCCTACCCTCGGCCCCGTTGTATATACCTATCTATCCCTTTCTTCCGAATCTTACACGCTCGTGCCCGGTGCTCTCCCCTGCCTCGCCCCGCCGTCTACAATGTCTTGAAGCCTTCCTCCAGCGCGACGGTCTGGCCCAGCTGCTTGCTCCCTGCCATGGCGGCCTTCTCGCCCGCCCTCTTGCGGAGGACGTTCTCGATGAAGGCCTCGCCGGCCTTGTAGCTGCTGCGCACGAGCGGCCCGCTGGCGCAGTACAGGAAGCCCATGTCCAGCGCGCGCTGCTTCCACATCTCGAACTCGTCGGGGGTGACGTACTTCTCCACCTTGAGGTGGCGCTTCGTCGGGCGCATGTACTGCCCGAACGTGACGACGTCGACGTTGGCCTCGCGCAGTTCTGTACCGGGGGGGGGGGGAGTCGTTGTCAGCATTTTGTGTCATGTCGCCTCGCACGCGGGGGGGCACAGGAAAGAGAGGTTAGGGCAGAGAGAAGGGAAAAGGGGGTTACTCACGTCTTAGTGCATCCATGATCTCCGCCTCCTGCTCGCCCAGACCCAGCATCAGACTCGTCTTGGTGATCATCTCGGGCTTGACCTCCTTGACGTGCGCCAGCACCTTGATGCTCTGCCTGAACGTCGCCCTACGGTCCCGCACGTACGGCGTCAGCGCCTCGACCGTCTCGACGTTGTGCGCGTAGACGTCCAGCCCGCTCTCGGCCACGACGCGGACCATGTCCAGGTCGCCCATGAAGTCGCCCGTCAGCGCCTCGACGAGCAGGCTCGGCTTCTTGGCCTTGATCTTGCTGATGGTCTCGGCAAAGTGCCGCGCGCCGCCGTCGGCGAGGTCGTCGCGGTCGACCGACGTCAGCACGACGTACCCCAGCCCCCAGCGCGCCAGAGCCTCGGCCGTGTTCTCCGGCTCGTGCGGGTCCAGCGGCGCCGGCGCGCGGTTCGTCTTGACGCTGCAGAAGCGGCAGCCCCGCGTGCATGTGTCGCCCATGAGCATGATGGTCGCCGTCGCCGCACTCTTGGACGAGCCGCCCCAGCACTCGGAGATGTTGGGGCACTTTGCCTCCTCGCAGACCGTGTGCAGGCCCAGGCCGCGCAGGTCCTTCTTGATGGCCTTGAAGTTGTCGTTGCCGGCGGGGATGGGCGTCTTGAGCCACTCGGGCAGCCGCGTGATGGTCTTCTTCTTGCCCGTCGGGCCCGTCACCTCGACCGTGCGGATCTCGTAGGCCTCGCCTTCCGTGAGGGCGCCGTCCTTTGCGGCGCCGCTGATGAAGTCGTCGAGCGAGGCAACCGTCTTGTCCTTGAAGTACGTCGGCCGGCGCGCGACGGATTTCGGGGGCTGTGATGATGAGGCTTCGGATGTTGTGCCGAGCGTGGGAGGCACGGTGGCGAAGGCTCGGGAGCGAGCCGACGAGGCGAGGGCCCGTCGAAGGGGCGCCTGAACGCGGGCGAGGGGCGCCATCGCTGAAGACATGAGGACTGAACACTGTCTTCTGTGGGCTGTCCTGTCCTCCTCGTAGGGTTTCAAAGGTGCAGCACCCAGTAATGCTGGTGGAAGCTTGTCGAGGAGTTGGATTCAGCAAAAGCTATGATGGGGCAAAAAAAACGGACCGAGAAAATGTGACCATTGGAAATCAGGCCCTGCAGCCGGTCCCCGGATTGAATCGGCATATCATATCGGGGGGTCCGTTTGTCATTATCGACCAATCAGCGCCCTAGAGAGCTATTTGACAGCGGTAATGCTGACTAAGACAGCGGCGTGCCGGGGCTTTCTTTCCGCCCCAACGGATTCGAGGGGGGACGGTACGGATAGTCTCGATACAGAACATCCTAGTTCTTTCCAATCAAGAGACGGGCATTGACAATAGTGCGCAGGCTGTTGAGCAGTTCTCACTTCTCACCTACAGGCAGGCTGTTACTGCGTATCGACTTGCAACTAGTTCTGGACACGAAATCATGGAGGGGAGAGCATCAAGCTTGCATCGAAAACTTCATTAAACCGTTTATGCTGGTAAACTCCCCGTCTCATATCTTTACAAAACCCCTCCCAATGGCCTCCAAGCCCTCCTCATGAGGCAAAAGTCCTCGTGAACAAAACCGGCGTTCAGGTCAAATAGCTCGTCATCGCGAATATAAAAACAAACACTCTCTGTATTCTCCTTCCGGTCAAAGTGTCGGGTAACGCGAGCAAGTCGATGGTGAGGATGGCTCAAACAGAGGCCAACCCCAGAACCAACGCTCACGATGCCCTTCTCCCTCGCCGGCAACCATACAACAATAGGGGTATCAACAACTCGAATAGAATGTGAAACTTTTTTGTTCCAACACACAAAACCCCCGTAAATCCCTAAATCATCCATCCTGATCGTTTCTGTCATACATCTTCTCCGGGGAACAAGACGTGGCGAAAGACCTCGTAAAAGTTATTTCCAGCCAGCAAGCACAGGGACGAGACCGACGGCGCATAGGCTGGTGGGGTAGATTGACTGCGCATGTCGCACGACCTCCTGTGCTGCTGGGGAAGAATCGAAACATTAATAAAATTGGGTTGACAACCATCCGCGGCGCTCAAGTGAGTGGCCGCGGACATGTGGTGTCGACTTGAAGCAAAGCATAAAAAAAGTTGATCGCTGTCAAACGTCCCTAGTGACAAGCGTCTTTGGGTTCCTTTCCTGCAGGCTGGCGATGCAAGCGTCGCGCGTGGTGTTGTTGAAGAGGAATAGGGTATTTGGCGGTGCCATTGACTGAAGTGGTATCCAATCTTTACGGTCGTCCATGTCGTAAAAACCGGCTGCGCTCACACGGGTAGCGATGTGGCGTCAAACCAGGGTCGGAGGCG